ATAAAATCTCATTTTAACAGACAGATTAAAAAAAAAAAAAAAATTGTTTTTACAAACCAATACAGTGTTGGGAAAAGTACATTAAAAAAAATAGAACGTTTATAGGAAATCAAAACTCAAGTAAAGTCAAGCAAGACTCTTGGATAATTGTAGATTTTAAGAGGAGACCTAGAAGATGTCACTAACAAACCTCTGCTTGAGAATCTTAAAGTGTGGATCAGTGCAAAGGTACTAAAATGGACCGAGCTGGAGCTAAAATAGAGGCCACTAATGTCATGTCCGTCAAGGTTCGGTTCATGTGTGCACATTTTATGTCTTGTCTTTCCTGTTTTATTTTGAAGTCACTAACCAGTTGTCTCTGTCTTAGATTTACTTCCCACACCTGTCTCCTCACACCTGCTTCCCTGATGGCTTTCCCTCACCTGATTCCCATCTCCCCTCATTACATTGTGTATATTGCCTTGTGTGTCTCACAGTCTCGTGGCCAGTTCGTTGGACTTCACGGTCTTCGTCCCAACGTTATTCATAGCCATAGTCAAGCCATAGTCTGTTTGTTTACGACCTTGTTTCTGTTTTTTGGACCTTGCCTTTTTGCCTGCCGTTTCTTGGATATCTCTGCCTGTCTGACTGACCTTCTGTGTACCGAACCCTGACTGAGAATAAACCTGCCTTTTTGCCTGAACCTGTCTGTGTCGAGCATTTGTGTCTGCCTGTTCTGAGAGTGAGTTCTTGACAACTAAAGGCCCTAAAAGTAATTAATAGAATGTCAAAATCTCTCATCTTGGGAATCAGAACAAAGAGGCGAAAACAATAATGGTTGTGATTGAGTTGAAATGCATTTTTCCTACATTGTACACTGCTGTGAGAAACTTGTCAAATTTTATAAACTAATCACATAATGACTGTTGCAGTCAAATAAATGCAGGTCACCAAAATGCAAAATATTTCCTTTGTGGTGCAAATGCAAATGGAAACACTCCAGTAGAGTTCAGGTACCTCGGAATTGTGTTCAAATCAACAGCAGGCAAGAATCTGGAAAATTCCAAAACATAAAACTCTACTCCTGCTGCTCTTCCTTTGACCCTCTGTTCTGTTCGTTCTATTCTCATGCACAGTCAAACTAAAAGTTAATGTGGATTTGTAGCATCACTCAGGATTCGAACCCGTCTCTTCTGAGGCCTTCATCTATCTCAGTGTGCCACCACACCCAGACGTCACATTTTTGTCTAGTTTTGGTTCCCATTAACTTAAAATAGAACAGAAACATTTGAAGGCCAATGTCTAACTATCAGCTCAGCCCAGGCTGTGGTCATAACATGCACACTCCCTGATCACGCAGTGCAGAAGCTGCCTTGTCCCACTCCCTGTCAGGCCTCTTGAATGCACTTCTGTGTATGAGCCCTGATCTTTTCAGCTGGAAATACAAAGCTACTTCAAAAAGTTCTCAGCCTCACCTGAAGACAAAGGGCCTAACTCCCATTTAACTGCATACTATAAAGCCTTATATCACTGTCCACAATAACTCAAATGTGTGAAACAATAAAAGAAGAAAGGAGAGCTTTGATCTGGCTGCTCCAGGATGACCCACACAGCACAGGTGGCAGAAGCAGCCAAATGTGGCTTTTAACTGTTGTTTCATGAACCTAACTCACCTGACCTGGTACTATTTAACTTCTGTCTGTGTCCCAAACTGAAATCTGACTTGTGTGTTAACCATTTTCAAAGCGATGATGAGGTCATGCACGCTGTTGAGGAGAATCTAGAGGTATGAGATGTGACCTTCTTCTATGCAGGGACAGTGAAGCTTGAACATTAGTGGACCAAGTGCATTCAAGTTAAAAGAGACTGTGTTGCAAAATAATGCTAGAGCAATCTTTCTTTTTGAAGTACCCTTGCATAGTTCGATCTCAGACCACTTGAAATACAATGTGATGAGACGCTCATATGTAATTTAATGCATAGACTGTTCATGCTGTTCACAGTGCTCATACACTTTATACAACCCATACCATTCATATTGTTTATACTGCTCATATCACTATTCATCTCTACCTGTAGATTCAGATGATCAATTTTATATTGTATCCACATCTACATGCTACAGGCTGCACTGTTGCACTGTTGCCTCGCAGCAAGAAGGTCGCCGGTTTGCGTCCCGGTGGGGGCACCGGGATCTTTCTGCGTGAAGTTTGCATGTTCTCCCCGTGCAGCGTGGGTTCTAAATCTAATCTAGTCTAATCTAATCTAATCTAATCTAATCTAATCTAATCTAATGTTGATGATTTTGAACACTGCATATATATGTGTGTGTGTGTGTGTGTATTTGAAATTATTTTTCTTTTATGGGCTTTTTGCCTTTTTTCAGACAGGATAGTGAAGAGAGACAGGGAGACGTGTGGAGAAGAGTGGGGGTGCAGCAGCAAATGCAGCAAATGAGCTGAACTGCTGCGTTGGGGACTACAGCCCCTGTATATGGGTTGCCGTCTCATCCGGTTGAGCTACCGGGGAGTCAGTGTGTGTGTATTTGGAAAAGAAAAACAAAAACCCTGCCTACCCTAGCTTTAAATTCAGAATTGACTTGTGCAATTGTACTTATTTCACCTCTGGTTGAATATATAGATTTTTTTTTTAAAAAAAAAACGTAATTACAAAAAGTGGAACATCCACCCTGAAGCTCTGGAAGTGCAATCTTGAAGGCAGCACAGTAAAGTTTGGTGAGGAATGTGGCTGCGCCTCTACTCCGTGCATTAAGGTCAGAGCTCTAGGAGGTTCTGTACGTGGCAGCGTCTACAACCCCTCTCTGTACTATTCATAACCTCGGGGTGCCAAGTGGATTTGCGTCCACATACCGACGTGTGACGGTCCTGTGTAGACCCGGTGAGGATAAAGGTAAGCTGGCATTAAACACAACATCTGACCGGCGTACACACGAGGCCTTATTTACATCTGCGCTGAGCCGAGGATCTCGCGTGTCTCCCGAACATGCTGGGATGGTTGTCAGCAGCTCCGACAGGCTTCTGTTGTTGTTGTTACCGATTTATTTTCCACACCGGAAAGGTTTTAGCAGCAAAAAAAAGGCTACTCAACGACTTATTTCCCTGTGAAGTCTGTGTTTACTTCACGCCTGCTTGTTACATTGAAACGCGACACACAGCCAGGCGGGTGTTCAATGTTTCTCTGCGGAAACTTTTGAAAGTTTGCGCGAACTTGGTGACCGAGCATCTCAGACACTGCTGCTTTCACGTCTTTTATTTATTCTCACGTGCTTGAAAACGGCCAAGAGACAAGTTTTTAAATACATATTTGGCGTTGTAAACGCAATAGGTGTTCACATGTAGCCCACAGCTCGGGCTCCGGGACGCTCTCTGGACCTGGAAGAGCCCAAGTGTCGGGAATTTCTAGAAACAACTGTCTCGCGCTGACGTCAGTGGGACGGCCAGGACCCAGCTGGAGATGATGAGCAGCAGGTCAGGAGGAGGGAGCTCCATCCACAGCCAGCCTCAGTCAGCCTCAGTCAGCACTGTCTGCTGCTGCCTCCAGCTTCTACTTCACTGTCGTTCACCAAATCAGCTAAAATCAGCAGTTTTTTTAAAAACTGGAGCTGAAGTGATCCTGATATAAGGTGTGTCAACAGTTGCATTAATGGAGAATCTGGGGCAACAAACTTTCAAAATGTATAATTCTGATGATCATTTTCCAGAGTGATCTAAAAAGAAGGACTCAAAACTAATCAGAAAACAACCAAAGTATGTAGTTTACCATACTAATAGACCAAGAAAAACAAGTTATCAAAGTAGTTTGCTAAGTAGATGTACCTGGCCGACATAAATCAGACCTATGTCATGGTAAGATAGAACTAGAAATCGATTTGAGCTGAATGATTTTAGGAAAATATTTAATGGCATTTTTTTTCCTGACAGATATTGTGATATAGAGAGTAGAAGGCAAATAGACTTTTCTTTGTAGTTCTTGAATACATTTTAGCTCTTATCCAAGAAGCTTCTTGATGAGAGCTGAATGCCTTCAATACCCTGAAAAATGTGCCGGCTTGCTTCTACTGAAGCTCTTAGGGTTATCAAGACCTGGATGACTGAGAATCTACACAGACGATATGCAGTAGATTTTGTGGAATAGATAAAAAATGTGATGGAACATTACCACAGGAGATAGCATCGAAAGCGTGACTGCCACACAAGGAGGACGGCCTGAATTTGACACCGCAGTGCAAGCCCCGGGTCAGACACGTTGCATAATGCACATCCTAAATTGCAGCTTTTGCTGTTTGCTTATTGCGTTGTTTCAAAATGCAGTTTTTAATTGAAATCAATGAATTGTTTGGCCTTAGTATGTAGCCTCAGAATCCAACTCGGACTGCAATGAGTACTTCCATTATAAATTTACTATTTCCTCCATTTTTTTTTTGCTCTAGAAAATGTCAAAAAGCTGTGACACCTTTTAGCCCATCTCAGTGTCTTCAAATGTCGTGTTTTGTCTGACCAACGGTCTAAAACTCTAGAAATATTCAGTTCACTGTCACATCAGACAAAAAATGCAGCAGATCTTCAAATTAGAGAAGCTGGACCCACAAACTGATAACAATTAGTCATCAGATTAATTTTGTGAAGATTAGCTAGTAGTTTAATTGTTTTCCCTCTGAAGTTGAGTGAGTTCACAGCGGCTGCTCAACAGCCAGCTGCTTGTCGAGCTCAAAGGATAAGATAGTCGATAAAAAAGCTCCAAAACAAAAGCTCTTGGCTTTGTCCACCCTCGGTAAATGGCACATAATGTCTCTGAACATACAGCAGTGGTATAAAAGGATGCCCGCCAGGTAAATGATCCTCTATAGTGATTTATACATGGCACAATGGCAATAATTGGCTTTGGCAGCCATCGGAGTGTGTCTAAATGGAAGGCAGCGAATAGAGTGATGCCATGAATCTGTCAACAGTAATTAGGCTAAAAGGCAGGTGACGTGAACACTCAGAGATGATGCCTGGTTAGCTACAGCATGAAAATAGAACAGTCTTATTAGGTTACATGAAATACTGTAATAAAATCCCTCAGTATCTGTCTGCTGACCTCTATTTCTCCACATCTGCCTTCTTTTACTGAAGTAAACTGCAGCCACTGTCCTGGTTATATCTGTTTATCCAAACTACCGAAGCAGTGCAGTGTAGATGCCTGGCTGATTTACATGGATTACAGAATTTGTGTATTTTTTTGTTAAACATTTATGTGAGCGACAGCGTTTACATACCGCAAAAGGTTTTTGGAAGTGGATGGTGTTAGTGTGATCTTACACATTTAGAAAACCCTGTGTGTGTTTGTGTTCACGGCTATATGCAAGCTGGCTTGTGTAAACTAAAGCATGCAACGCTGCGTCTGTATGTTGTAGAGTCACACTCTGTAGCACCGTGCTGCATGTGAAAGACCTCTTCTACCAGGTGGAGATGAAACTATGTGGATTGCAACAGTTTGGCTGCAAAAAAAACATGGTTGACCCTCAAAGTATAACTGATTATATAACCTGTTTTCAGAAGTATGTCTGTTTTTTCCGCTTCAACTCTCATGTCATGAGAAGCACATGTGCATTGATTTTAAGCACATATGGGCAGCAGAGATCGTGCATTTAACTTTATTTGACCCTTTGCAAAGCTTTTTAACACTTTCCTTGGTGATATTTTAGTTTGCAGCGTTGGCTCAGCTTTTTTCGGCTTCAGTTGTTTCAGAGTAAAAAACAAAGTAGTATGTAAATGTCCTTTAGTCACTTGTTGTGATGCTTGGTGGAAGCGAAAGTCAAAGCAAATGTTTGTGCACTTGGTTTGTTTGTGCTTGCTGAGCTTAGAGGGAATCTGTGATCTTTACTGAAACTAAGGCCACGTGTAAAAAAAACAAAAATATAATCAAAGCTTAACTATTCTGCCTGTAAAGCCAGCAATCTTTAAAACCACATTAACAGTTTTTTAAAAAATTTGACACGAATCCAGTCTAATTGAGGAGCAAATACAATTCTCCCCCACAGTGTAATTTGAAATGCACAGAGCAGCAGCAATGACAAGTTTGAATCTGAATTTGTTTTCATTGCTGGAGGAGACATAAATCTTTTTCAGACTGGCAGCCAGGGATTGTCTGTGCATGTTCATGTCTGTTGATACTGTATGTGCACATACTGTACTGTATGTGGCATTTTATGTAACATACGTGAAGGGGGTTGGGTTGGGAAGGGATGCCACTCCCACTTACTGATTACCATCAGCCAGGAAAATATCTGTTCAGCATCAACTATTTTCTGGCGTTCAGCTGCCGTTCGTTGCTTACACAGATTGCTGATTTCGTGCTCCTGACTAGTTTTATCAGAATACTGGAATTTGGTCTCGTAATCTAGAAATAACACAAACTGCCACAGCGCCAGTGGTAGCGAGAACAGCCACCAGCCAGAGGGTTTCCAATCTAGAGTTTGACAGCTTTTTGACAACTTTTGCAAAGAGGCAAAGGGGTCAATCTGAAAGTTATGGCTTCTACACCTCTGTTAGTTTAAAAGTTCCATGTTTTGCTCTGAAAATCATTTAAGCTTTACAAGGAAATAGATGTTTGGCCTTCACATGCTCTTTCACTTCCCCCCCTGTTTTCCTCATTTTGAACTCTTTCTTCAATTTCATCCCTGCCATGTCCTGTAAATTTAATTCTAAAAAGCAAGTTTAGTTTCCACAACAAAAATTGGCTGAAGGTTTCAAAGAGCCTGAGGTCTTTTGCAACATTGTTGAAAATATAGCAACAGCTGTTTTGACAACTCTCTCCCTCCAACATCAGCCAAAGTGCTTTTTTGCTTTGGTGTTTCTCTTGTTTGCATTTCTTATGAAACTATCTGTAAAGAAGAAACGGATGAGCAAGATTACTTTTTTATCATTTTCAAGACTGTCCTCTTATCCAGACATGTGTACAACAGCTGTTCTTCTCTGCAGGTTTGTTGTCAAATGAGGGCCAGTAGAAAATTAGAACAAGATGGATACAGATGTTGAAAATTTTACTGTCGGGGAAGACGTTTGCTTCTAAGAAACTCCTGCTCCGTTGCAAACCTTGGATCCTGACTGCTTTGCCAGAGAGTGTGTGTCACACTGGTGTCTTATCTATCTCATGCAAAAGAGCGAAAGGCTGGGGGATCTCAACCCCAACAGAAATGAGCAGAGATTCTGTGGGCTGTGGCCATCATTGAGTCCAGACAAATTGAGCAATGGCAGAGCACAGCAGAGTAGCTGTACTCACTCATAAACTAATGAAGAAACAACAGAATATTGTTTTAAGAAACCTGCCAAACCAGAGCAGCATAAAGAGTAAAAGATCTTGATTTTTATTAAATTTTTTTGCTGACCTTCATTATTTTATTTTGAAGACAGGTTTAATAGAGTTCTGCATTAGTCAACAACCACCTGTCCATACCTGCCCTCTCAGCACCCAGCGTATCGTATCCTGTCTTGCCCCCTCCTCAGCGCTTTTCCCTACAATTTTCAGAAACACCAGGCAAGGGTCAGGACTCGGGAACATTTGGGCTGTAAATGCAACAGGCCTCTTTTCCAGGAATGTGACATGGGTGTTACAGCCTGCAACAACAGGCAAGACTCTGTTTGAGCTGAGCAATCGTACTGGCTGTAAATTACAAGGGGAGTGATTTGGTCATTTAATTTGTAGTTTCGGACCGTGGTAATGGTTATCTGGGCGAGCACCCATTAAACAACTTGTGGTACCACACTAGAAGCTAAATTAGTACCAGTAAGAGAAGGACGTGAGAGTTATTTATAAAGCTTTATGGTCACTGTCCATTAGGGGCAGAAGTTTCCCTTTATTCTAGTTCTGGAAAAAACTTAATTAAACAAATGGCGCTGTCACTTGCACACATTAAAGAACACAACTGACACACAAATGACATTATATTTAACCCACTTGTTGAGTTCAGTCAAGCCAGCTGACCACATGGACCACACAAGCATAAACACAACAGGCCTAATCTTTGTAATTATCATGCCAGTTGGTGGAAATGTATTCATTATGCGTAGCATAGACGAAGCTTGTTCCATGTTGTAGGTGTGTTTTCTACCTTGTAAGAATTCAATATATCCGTTCAGTGTCTTCAAGGAGGCGTGATCTTTGTCTTATGATCTTGTAATCTTTATTTCTACATCTGAGGAGTATGTTTGTCATATTATTCCCCACCTGCTCCCAACTCTCAACAACTTCTGCAGCTCCCCTACCTTGACATTATGCTGAGAATATTTATACGAGTGTTTTACCCCCCCAGCCAAAAAGTAGGATGTGATACGCGTTGCTCTGAATTTTAATCCAGTCTTACTCTGAGATGTTTGATATACAGGCCCTGACCTATATACTCGCACCCAGCGTGGTACATTCCAGCATAATAACTACGATTGTAAATGTTAAAAATAAATCGGCAGTAAATTTGTTTTTTCTTTTCACCAAGAGAATTCACAGTGACTTGATGGAAATGTTGAAGGCATTTCCCAGCCCCCTCTGCAGTGCTGGGTACCCATGGTAAATTCCCTCATGGCACGGTTGTCTGAGATGTTTGTCCCCTTAAAAGGATCCGTTTGTCACAAATAAGCCACCTTCCATTGTGTTGGTTTTACAAAGGACTGATAAAGTAATTGGCAAACGCATGTGGTGTTGGCTGTTAAACTCTTTTTTCCTTCAAGTGTGTGCACTGGCACTTTGTCCTGGAACTATATTGTGCATGTTATCTGATTTCAGATTGTGTTGGTGCCTTAGTGTCACTTTGGCTTAAGGCATCGACACAGTATTTTGGCAACAACGCAGAGTCGACTTGTATTTTGTTAGCAGGTGTCATGTTAGTGAGATGATTTCTTTTTCACCTGCAGCAGATTCCTCACTAAGGTATTACTACACTTTCAAGCAAGGTGCCAATTCCGTGCTTTAGATCCTCTGTTTCTCTAAGCCAATGATTACATAGTTGTGCAGACAGAAGCATGTGTGTGCGTGCGCCTGCATTGTGGAAGCATGGATGTGTGTGCGTGTGCGTGTTTTACACAGGCAATAGTAAGCAACTATTACTGAGAAGTTATGTGGCAAAGCAGAACTGGACAAAATCCAAAAGGAGAAAGTGGGGCAGAGTCACTTTTCACAAAGAAAGTTGTTCTCAGTGGGACTGGACTGTGAACAGAGAGTTTCTGCCATGGGATACATCATTATTTTGTCCTGCTTTTTTTCAGTTTCAGCCCTTTTGTTGGCTCTGTTGTAGCTGAAAGTCAACACGGCTCGAGTTTCTTTTGCCCTAGATAACAGTATTAGTCATACAGTGTGGCAACTTCTAACAAAAAAAAGTAATAAAAACTTAGAAACAATGGGTTGTCTGAACTGAAGCCGACTACCCAACTTTGTGTTTAGTTCACATTTGCTTGTAATGGTTTCTTTCATGCGTCAAATGTGCCTGAATTGTCTGTGACGGATGTTGTACTTGGATTGGGGTTTTGAAAGCGAGTTCCTTTGGTGCACACTCTGGTTTATTATTCTATTACAAAAGACACTGAGCTTTACTGGTCATGAACATTTTTCATTAGACATCTTGTGGCCATGTTGATCTCCAGAATACAATTATGACATGGAAAGCAAACTTTTATTGGGCTTACATGAACCAGATGGATGAGAAAAAGACATGTAGTATATGCCTCATACCTCACTACAAGATACAGAGTGTCATATTTAAAGAAATATACACTTCTTTTTCCACACCGTCTCTTTATTTTTCTTTCTTAATGACAGCTGGGCACAGGAGGCCGTGGTTACTCATTTATAGGAAACATGCTGGAAACTTAGAATATTGTTAGACAGTCAGCTAATTTAGTACGGAAACACAGAATCATTGTAAAAGCTGATGACTCAGACCAACTGCAAGTTAAGAATAAGAGGATCGAAATACTGTTTGTCAGCTTTTTGCAGTCATTGTGAAAGAAAAGCACAGCGTCAGTTATGGAGGACAAAGGATGAATATGGTTGCAAGATGTGTTAAAGAGGCTTTAGAGAGAAGCAGAACAATATGAGAATAATAAATGCTTTATCCCTAAATCTTTACTGACTGCAGGGTGTTTAATACAATTTGGAAAAATGTGTTCATTCTGAATTCTGTTGTGAAACCATGTGATTGTGTTTGTCATAGGTTATTGAAGGAGACAGAATGGGGAAGTTCCTGTTTTTCACCTCCTGGGTTCTGCTGTCCTGCTTCTGCTGCAGGACCATAAAGGGAGAAATCTTCACCTCCATCAGTAAGTTTGAATATCTTTCCTATTTGTGTGTTTGCTTTTGTGTCATGCTCCCTTATAGCCACCATGGCAAAAAGTAGTTAGAATTACATATGATCCACTAATGAGACTTCAATTGACTCATTATGCATTAGTGTCATTTTTGTTTTTTGTGTTACATTCAGTGTGAATCCTCTTCAAGTGCCCCAGAGCTCTGAACCCAGTGCTATTTCAGGAAAACATATGCATTTGCGTCTGATGGAACCACACCCACCAACTGGCAGTGTATCATTATTAAACTAATCCCTGCCCCTTCGGCCACAAAAATCACAACAAAAGCACAGCGATATGATCCTTGAACTGAACTGCACAGCGAGGATATTTAGTCGCTGAGGAATGCATGTCTGTGCTTGGCAATAAAAATGTTTTTAAACAGAGGATGTGGCCAGAAGGGCAGTAAAGTCTGAGTTTATTTTGTCCTGAATAACGTTAAAGGGAAGTAATTTTGGTCCGTTTGGTACTTTTTATTTATTTTTTTTTTTTTAAATGTGCACACTGCTCACATGGCCAGCATGGTTTCTGTAGAAGTGATTAATCCTTTGACCCCACTTTAAAAGAAATTATAAATTAGATCATTTAAAGGATGGCCATAAATTTTATTTTAGGTTTGTGCAGTTACCTTCCTTTGTTTAGTATTTTGGGAAAGGATTGCTGATTTACATAAACTCCAGTCACTTGAATTAAGTTGATTTAATGCACTTGGCAGGTCAGTTATGCGGGTTGCATGCACACACAATGAAAGTGTTTCATTATCCCTTTTCCCTGGCAACCCCTGTGAATTAATTATGGCTGAGCGTTTCCATGAAAATGTTTAGTAAGCACACAACACCCCAACCATCTCCTGAAATGGATAAACAGCCAACTTTAGCTTGCTGAGTAATTCTATACTATCAAAGCCCCACAGCTCGTGGCTGAGGATTTATTTTACCTCAGCCTAAGAAAAAAAGAGCGTTACCAGAAATAGATTTCCAAATCTTAAAAGCAAACCACAACAAATATGAAACAGGTAAAATGGGTAGGTTTCTCTCTCAGATACTAAATCTGCACATTATCTGAAACTGAAAGCAGTAATACAAGACAAAGTGATGATGACTTTATCTTTAGGGACTTATCTATAATAACTGTCTGTGTTTCTTCAGGCCAAATGACAGACCTGATCTACACAGAAAAGGAGTTGGTTCAGTCTCTGAGGGAGTACATCAAAGCAGAGGAGTCCAAGCTTACAGCTGTCAAAAGGTACATTCTGAGCCCAGCAACTTTAAAACAACCCAACTGTGAACCAAGTACCTTACATCAAGTACCACGGCAGTGTCCAAGTTTCAGGCACTCTCATTTTATTGGGGTGTATCAGTTCTGTGTCTTTGTTCTTGTTCTATTTCAGTAAATGTCAGAGAACAGTTTTGAACTTGTTGCTAGCATCACCTTCACACCCCGGGCACAGTCTGTTCTTACTGTTGCCCTCAGGAAAGAGGTACTGATCCATCCAGGCCCGCATATCCAGACTCACCAACATGTTCTACCCAAGTGCAATATGGGTACTCAACGCACGCTAATCTCCATAGTCTGAACTATTTATCATATATATTTATTATTTGTATTACACGAGATTATAGTATAATTATCTACAATTATGACATATTATTTATAATTAGATAATTATAAGTATAATTATGTATATTTCTCATATATCCACAGTGTTCTTACCTCACCCGTGCAATATATTTATTTTACCCTTTGGCTATTACCATGCTCATTCCAAACTGTATATACTTCCTACTGGCTCCTTTTGTAAATATATTTATATATTCTTATTTGTCTTTTTTATACTTGTACTTTGCACTACTGGAGTTGTCTTTTAATTTCGTTGAGCTCTGTGTATGATGACAATAAAAAGCATTCTATTCTACTCTGGCAATGTTTTGTGACTGCTACAGCTACTTTTCAAATTGTGATTGTGAGTTTGAATCCTAACACATTATAAAAGATTAGTATCACTAAAAAGTAAGTCGTCAACAGTCCACAGAAGTAATAAAATAGCTCAGACATGTCTCTGTTCCATCAACAATCCTCAGAGATTTGTTCATATTGATGGTTAGAATGGTGGACGTTTTCCTCAGTTTTTTTACTTTTACTTTACCATGTGAGTTATAATCTTTTTATGTCTTTATTGAACAGTATGTGGTTCACATAGTGTAAAGCAACTTAAGTATTTATTTTTTTCCAACACATTTTTACCGGACCTTTCCATATGTGTATCTATATACATAGCAGGTGTTTTTGCAGTTTTAGAAACACTTGTCTCTCTGTCTCTCAGCTGGGCCAAGAAACTCGATGCTCTGACCCGAGTGTCCACCTCTGACCCAGAGGGCTACCTGGCCCACCCAGTGAACGCCTACAAACTGATGAAGAGACTCAACACCGAGTGGTCTGAGCTGGAGAGCTTGGTGCTTCAGAACCCCTCTGATGGTGAGGAAATGACTGAAGAAGGAATAGTCGAGTGTGGCATGAGTTAGCTTTGCTTGGAGTGTAAATGTTTGCTGTGTGATTATGATATCACTCCAGCTTGTGTGCATGCTGTCTTCAGATAAGGATTTTGGTTTATTTGTGTAAAAATGCCTTCTGGAAGTATCTATGCGCCTGTATTTGTGTCGCATGCAGCCATCAGCCTGCTGTCTGATTGCTGCCTATGTGTCACATATCAGACAAAGTCGTACTAAAAAAACTTTAATTATGTTCATCCACACTAGTTCCACTTTCTCTCTGCATTAATTTGTAATATATTCAGAGATTTTGCTCAAGTTTGAACTATTTCTGTCACATCAGATATGTCCTTAGATCAGTTTATGCCGCCTTGGCCATATCTGCATCTGTTAGTCGTCACTGTTGCCTGTCCGATAACATTGAATGCATTTCTGCCTGGTCACATCATATAATATATCTGATGGGCAGCATTTATTACTTTTCTCTGTTGAGCTTCTGTCCACGTGAGCAGAGAGCGAGTGGCGAACGGCACAAAACTTAATCAAAAACCTGCAATCCAGTTGTGTGATTGGAGCTAATGCTGCAGAGTGGAAATTTCTGCTGAGCTACTCTGCTCCCCCAATGAACAAACGAAACCAGAGCCTGTCATGTTTTAGCTGCAGCTGTTCCTCATCTCTGCATATTTTGGCCACGTTCTCCCTTTCTGTGTGTGTGTGTGTTTGGACCTGGAAGTGCATGCGTGTTTGGACTTGGGTCCATATCTGTGTGAAGCAGATAAACTGAGCATGAGTTCGTCTTATGAATGGATCTGTGTACGTGGCCATTAGAGTGAGAATAGAGAGGCTGGATGTAAATTTAATAAACATAAGTTGATAGATGATGTACAGTTTTTTGAACTAGTTTATTGTGTAGTACTTTTTCCCTTTTCTCTCTTTATGCTTTGCACGCACAAATGCACTTATGCATTCACTTGTCATGAAAATAAAGCAAGTTAAAAGAGAGAAAGAGAGTGAGAGATTTTCTGAGGTGTTGGCAGAGAGCTGAAGCTTACAGGAGATTGTAATGTAATGTAATGGGAAAGGAAATGCTGCAAGTATTGAGCAATGGTCGTGTTGCTCATTGTTTGACAAATGTGTTAATAAGAATGGGTGAAAAAATGATGCAAAAATTGATAATATGTTAATGTTGGAATGTGTTCACGGTTTGTTAGTGGTAGCCCCAGTTCCCCACAAGTCTCTTTTTGCACCTTTAATGCATTTAAATTTAAATGAATTAAAATCACTGTCATGTATGTTTTACTATGCTTGAAACAGTGATGTCGTATCAGTCTTGCAACAAGTATAAATTGATCACCGACTATAAAACATTACATTATGTAAAAGTATCACAAATCAAGGACTTTAATGCTGATGCTCATGTTCTTGTGTTTTGTTTGGTTTTGTAAAGTACCCTTACTTAAAGGAGTCCTTTATATGTACAGCATGTGCTGTATTTAAACGGGGCCTTGCATGTTTAACAGGTTTGTCTGACTGTCCAGTTAAATAATGTCGTTCTTTGTGAGTGAGTGAGACAAAGGGAAAATGTTGGAGGCACTTTTTTGTGTTGATTTTGAATATTTTTACACAATTTGCTAATTGTAGAGTTGTCTGAGTATTTATTTTTGCATTTATTGTAATTAATTAGATGTGATTGAAGGAAGTTTTATGAGTGGGACTAAGTTGCTTTTTTTTTTTCCAGCTTTAGATTGCTAAGTTTTTTCAAAGTTGAGCATTAACATAGCTGATGTCATCTTTTGGTGAGCCAATAGTTTACTGACTTTCTTCATTATCATTACCATCCACTTTAATGCCTTTTTATATTCTGTCCAGGGTTTGTTTCCAACATGTCCGTACACAGACAGTACTTCCCAGATGAGGAAGATGAGACGGGTGCAGCCAAGGCGCTGATGCGTCTTCAGGACACGTACCAACTGGATTCTGAAGCCTTCTCCAGAGGAAAGCTGCCAGGTAACCAAGGAGTGTGCACTGATTGTGCAAAAATGCTTGAATTTGTTAAGACGGCTAGAGCAGTGTGTTTAACAACCCTCTAAAAAGAAAGGAAGGAGGCAAACTGCACCCACCCACAGTGAATTTGTACTGTTGTGTTTGTATGTGTTTTTACTTGTCTTTCAGTTCTCACTTGTTCAAGAGTTAAGCTTTAGTTTAAAGTGAAAGTTGCTGCTGCTTTTGGGTTGACTTAGCATTAACTCTAATGCTCTGGGACATGACTGAATGTGCAATTAACTTATTATGTGATTGGGCAACTCATGAAATGATGTGTAATGAGTTGTACATAGCAGTATACACTACTGCCTGCCCTGTGATCTTATTTTATATTACCAACAGGAGTTACCAAAGACAGAAATTCTCAAATTGTACACATACTTTAACTGGGTTTGAACTGCATTCCCATTCCAGTGGCATCTAGACACAAGTGGGACACAACACAGGTATTGACATGTGTTTACTTGTGCATACTTTTGCAGGTATGTGTCTCTGACCTGTTTAGTCAAGGCACAAGCCAGTTTGCATATGTGTGTCTGGCACAGTTGACTCTGCTTTTTGTGTTGAGCTACAGTCAAGTAACCTCAGTTGACCGTGTATCTCAACATGTCAACCCAAAACAACCGGAAACCAAAATATGATGGAAAAAAGGGACAAATTAGATGTTTACTAAGGACAAAACTGATTCACGTTTTGGACAATGCTCATTGCTACAAAAACTCTCTTTATTTCTTAAGCCAGTCAAAACAACTCTTAACAAGGCAGACGTGACTGATCTCATCAACTCCAAGAGAAACTATACAAGAGCAGCTGCATAATATGGATGATTAGCCTTAATTCACTTATATACTTAATGTATTAGTTTATGAAATTAATTCAGAGTATTCAAACGTTTGAGGCTCGACATCTCAAAAATACGGTATGCTCAGAAGGTGGAGCAGGATGTCTGTTAATCACAAGGGGATTAGTCACATCAGAGTCTTGGTGCCTGAATGGGTGAATGTAAGACAAGATGCAAAGCACTTGGGTAAAAGTGCAATATACATCAATTTACCAAACAGTTGCCAAGATGCATGAAATCCAGTGGTGCATTTTTAGATGAGTAAGAAAAATGAGTAATATTTACATTAATATATGGTTATATCTGCTTTTAGCTACTTTGTAATGTGTTAAAACCCATTTAATATACTGCATATTTGCTAAATGCTAAATAGATGGGCTCCAAGTGTTGCTGAACAATCTGTCACCCCACTGTATTTGTTTGGCTGTATTGATTATTGATTAAGACAAAAAAAGCCAGCAATGAATCTTCTTCTTCTCCTCCTTCTTCTTTTTTTTTTTTTTTTAAATCAAATGTTAGCTGCCTGGTATCCATCTTTGTAGTTACGTATTGCATTAATAGCCCAAAAATTGGGGTTCTTACATAAAATAATTTTCGGAATGTCCATGTAAAAACATTCATATTAGCTGGTATATCAATGTTAGATTTTTTTTTTTTGTCAAATACCAATGTTGGAAGGGGTTTAATCCAGTATTGGTCAGGCTGCAGATAGTAATGTTTTAAGGAAATTGATAAATTGTGTTTGCATATTCCATCCAACTTTTTATTCCTAACTCAAGATGTATTTTACTGAAATATAAAAATGATAAACACCAACATGTATTAAACTTATTTTCAAAACTGTAAAATGTTGTGTGTAATTAATATGTCATTAAATGATTTCTTGGTCGTTAAGTTTTGTTGAATCCCTCCCCAGGTATGCACTCCAACGCTGTTCTGACAGTGGACGACTGCTTCGACATGGGGAAGACGGCATATAACGATGCCGACTATTACCATGCTGTTCTCTGGATGCAGCAGTCCTTGAAGCAGCTGGACGGTGGAGAGGAAGCTGTGGTTTCCAAGGCAGAGATTTTGGATTACCTCAGCTACTCTGTTTACCAAATGGGCGACCTACCTCGAGCCATTGAACTGACACGGCGGCTGGTGGCTATTGGTAAGAGGCACAAGTGAAATCTTATGGACACCTGTACACTTACGCTCATTCATTTATTTCAGCTCAGGTCAGATACAGTATTTATCTCCTAACCGTAAACCGTGGGTCAAAGGGTTCACAGGTTCAGTCGGTCAACTTTTGAAAAACTAAAATAGCACCTTTGACACATGTTTGAGGACCACTGTTGAATTTTCCAGTTGTTTCCGATGACACATACAGACACCAGTTAGCCGACCACTACAACCGCAGTCCTCTGCTGTGATGTAATTGATGGGTTGTCTTCTTCCTTTTTCACTAATCACTACAGTCCACCCTCCTCTCTGGCTGCAGTGCCGTTCTGTGCTTGCCAGAGCAGGAGGGTGTTGTCGTTTCAAAGTAAGGGCTTGTGGTTTCAAACTGTTATTTTAGTCTCCACGTCAAGGCCTCTCTTGACAGCTCCAGGCCATCTTTTTAGAGCTGTGGTACGCTTGTTTTCAACTGAAATGAGCAGAGGAACCCTAGAGCAGAGGTAGCAGATGCAGACCTACTTTGCATCAAGTGCGACGAAAATAGCACAATGAACACTGAAAATGCACAAAGAGCAGCTCCTGCACACAGAAATGCCCCAGGACATTTACCCAGTAAACCTGTAACTGGTTGTTTTGCACAGGTACTGCAAAAACATTAAGATATGTGCTGATTAGTTTATAAGTATATCTTAGTTTATTAGTTATCTTTCGGCAGGCTGTTTTCTCATGTTTCCAGTCTTTATGCTACGCTAAATTTTCTCACTGTTTCTTGCACTTTTATTTTACAAAACATATTTCCCAAAGTGTTGAACCATTTCTTTAACTTAAATCACTATAGAAACACGTAGGCAGTACCACAAAGCATATCCCTAAACCAGTGGCGAATAAAAATGCACACACTCAGGCACAAACAGTATGAAAACTCATTAAGGGAACTGTACTGTAAACAGCAGACTAGATTAGACAAGGAAAAGCAAACAGGAAATGCAAGTAAGGGACTGACAGGAAGAGAAAATAAAATGTGGCTGTCCTATTTCCCACATTAATATCACTTTAGAAAGCACCAGTTAATTGAATCAAGATGTCAGTGTTTAGGGAGCTGTTATTTTAATGGACAATTAACTAACTCAACTCAAAACTGAAAACCAACTACATTTGTGTCAATGAATCAGTGTATGACAACCCTGCTTTAAAAGAGAACATTTAATCATTTGTACTGTTTATTGTGTCCCTGTCAACACAGCTCCTCAGTAAAATGACCCCCGGCATAGTATGGTACTGTAACTCTTTTCTTCAGAGGATTCAGTGTATTTCCTATAAACTCCACAAGAGGGCACACTAGTTCCATTATCCATCTTAATTCCGCCACTATTTCAAACACTTGCTAGATAACACAAGGGAGAGGCAAAGGATTGACAGTGGTGGAACATGTAAGCTAAAAATAGCATGGCCGCACTGTAAAATACCCCAATGTATGTAAAAGTCCTTCCTTAAAGTGTTGATTACAAGTACTCATCATGCAGAGTAGCAGTTGTAATACAGTATTTCAGCTCTACAGGCTATCAAGCTTCTCACCTGACGTTTGAGACACTAACCATCAACTCTTTTTATACTGACAGACTCATCCCACCAGAGGGCAGGAGGAAACCTCCGTTATTTTGAGAAGCTACTGTTCAAGCAGCTCCAGGAGTCAAACCAGTCCTACCAGCCTGCCTCTGAGGAGCCCATCCACTTGGGAACCTACAGTAGGCCTAAAGACCATCTCCCAGAGAGGGAGACCTATGAGGCTCTGTGCAGAGGAGAGGGGCTCCAAATGGTGAGACAGGAAGAAGATATAAGGGCACATTAACAGTGAGGCTGCATGTAACAATAAGACCTGTAGCAGAGACGCAGTCAAAAATAATATTATACTGATATTTTTTCATATACATCTGCAATGTGAACTTATTGTTAAACCAACAACAAAGTTTAAACTGAGCAAATATTTTTTGGGGATTAAATTGCATAATATGGATAAACATGCCTTATATTAGGGCTGCAAGGTGGCGCAGTGGTAGCACTGTTGCCTCGCAGCAAGAAGGTCACTGGTTCGCATTCCAGTGGGGGCACCGGGATCTTTCTGCGTGGAGTTTGCATGTTCTCCCCATGCAGCGTGGGTTCTCTCTGGGTTCTCCGGCTTCTTCCCACAAGTCCAAAAACATGTTGAGGTTAACTGGTGATTCTAAATTGTCCATAGGTGTGAATGTGAGTGTGCTTGGTTGTCTGTCTCTAAGTGTAGTCCTGTGATAGACTGGTGACCTGTCCAGGGTGTCCTCTGCCTTTGCCCTAAGTCAGCTGGGATAGACTCCAGCCCCCCGTGACCCTAGTGAGGATTAAGCGGTGTATAGATAATGGATGGATGGATGCCTTATATTAAAAAAGTAGAGCTGAAATAAAGGAAAAGTTGACTATAATCAATACATTACATGTTGGGCTGCTTTTCTGATGCTGCAATATTGCAAACTTGACTCGTTATCAAATTGAAATCGCAATTTGAAACAATGCAATTGGCAAATTGCAAAGTTTGCTATGCAGGTTAAAGATTGTGGAGCACATACGATCCAGGATTTAAAGTGTTCAGTCAGTGGTTTTACAAATTCTTCCTTTTGTTACAGTCACACTTGTGATGATGTCTCATATGGTAATGCTCTGTCACTTTTTTTTTTACATCGATTATGCAGTGAATATTTGACGCTTGACTAAAAAAATCATATCACTAGTCAAATCACAGTCGCAATATCTGAATAATTGCTATTAGACATTTTACCCAAATTGTTTCGCGCCAATACAAACCACGATTAGCCTGGGTTTGTGACAGTTAAACATTTATATGACTTAGGTAACTATATATTAGTAAACTGTCCTGTTAACAAGTGCCACAAAACTATAGAGGTGAAATATAACTATCTATACATGCAAAATATGTAATAACCTTTATGGCTGCACCATGTGTGCAGAAACCTATCGTAAGATTAGACTTTTTTTCAGCAGAAGGAAAACAAAAGAAATCAGATTCCAGTTCCTTCAATGGGAGTTTTGCACTATGTGGGCCATTTCTTGTGCCTATTGTGTTTATTGTAACAAGAAGTAGTTTTGTAGTAGTTTTCCTGTAACTCTCATGAAGGTCTGTTAAGTGTCTGATACACAATAACTATAACTTGAAAAGGTTTTTGGAAAGTTTTAAGTGTTAAGCAGCGACAGCAGGAATAGTGAGGTTTATATCTGCAGTAACTTCACACAGCTCTGATACTGAAAAAAATCAGTGAACAATAAAACAAGGCTGACATCTGAACATGCAATAAGAGGACACAGGACTGAATCTAAACTTTAAGCCACAGAGATTCAGGTTGAAGAAACAAAATTACAGAGAGCTTAAGACAAAACATTCTTCTGTAGTCTTCAGCACAGTTTAAGTACTACAAACAGGTGAAGAGCCTGGCATGGTTGACCTTGGTTGCTCTGCTTTTGAGGAGGACGGCAGCAGGACAGCACAGAACAGTGCTTCTTCCACCTGTTGCATGGCTGCATTGGATACACATGTCATCACATACTAGTTACATTAAAGTGAGTAATGAAATGAAATTGATCCAAAACGTTTATTACTCTCTTGTTGTTCTTAATATTTTACCAGAATGAAGCAAGGCGCAGCCGTTTGTTCTGCCGCTACCACGATGGTAGAAGGAACCCTCGTCTCCTGCTGAAGCCCCTAAAGGAAGAGGACGAGTGGGACAGCCCTCACATTGTGCGATACCTGAACATCCTGGCAGATGAGGAGATTGCAAAGATTAAAGAGCTGGCAAAACCCAGGGTGAGACAAGAAGCAATTATTAAATGAAATCTCAAAAAGTGCAGTGACACCTGATAGGTACTGTATAGATGCAATCACAGCATTGTCATTGCTGATTATCCCGTCAAAGGGACACCATGAGCCCAACACAACAACAAATTTAGTTATCCGAGGTTAAATGCAACCAACCAATGCAAAGAAAAATATCTTTTGCCCCCAAACTTATTGCTCATGCAGAAAAAGTGCAGTTTCCTTTTGTCAGAAGCATATTCAGATTAAATTGTGAACAGTAATCATTCTTGAATCCAAAATGTACAAAAGTTGGCATAGAATGGTAAAATGTAGATATATTTTGATGTACATAAATTGGTGAACTCTGATGTGTAATGTACTTGTTAATACCTGTTATTATCACTATTTTCTCAGCTTGCCAGAGCTACTGTCCGTGACCCCAAAACAGGTGTGTTGACCACAGCCAACTACAGAGTGTCAAAAAGGTAACTCGTTGTTTGGGTTTACTCTTGTGGATTTTAGTCTTCAATGCATCATTATAAGTCAGTATTAACAGTTTTTGTTATTCACTGGTAATTCCCTTTGCAGTGTAGTTCATTGCATTACTTTTGCGATTCTTTTGAATGACTCTGGAGTCCTGCCTTTTCCACTAACTGTCACTTGCCACAAGGATACCAATTTCACTGTCAACTGTAGTGAGACTTTGTGAAAGTGTAATTGATTCACATAATACACATGCCCCTGGTAAATGCACTATGTTGTGATGATGGGGCATTGACTACAGTCAGCAAAATGCATGTTGAATCAGGTGAAAAGCAGAACTGGTGGGTTGGTTGCTGCTGATGGCAACAGATTTCTGGCAAGAAAGGAGTCATGAAAAATGATTTAAAAAAGACTACTAAAGCTAATTTTTGATGAGGAGCAGGTGAGGAATAGAAGAAAGTCCAGATCTCTCTGGTTTTCACCCAGAGCCCTAAGCACTGAACACTTAAAGCCTTCACTTGAAGTAGAATATTTGTTACTTGTAGCAAAAGAAAGCCAAGTTCAAGTGCTGCTTTGAAAAGAATAATTCTCGAGGTCAAGTCCTGTCATCGACTTTACTGGTTGGTTGGTTGAATAAACAAGGTGATAAGAAATCAAGATGATTTATTTCAAGCCTTGTTTTCAGGACTTAGAAATCACTAAGTTGGATATTTGTAGTGCTTTAAGGGTTTAAATGTGCATCAATGTGCTCATATTTGTGTGTTATTCTTCAGCGCATGGTTGGAGGCCGAGGACGACCCTGTAATTGCTAGAGTCAATCAGAGAATAGAAGACATCACTGGCCTCACAGTAGACACAGCTGAGTTACTGCAGGTAATGTTCTTTCTTCTACAGAATTACGTGAATTACTACGTTCTTACAAAACAAGACATTTTAGGACGTCAGCTTGGACACTGGTTTTTCACCATTTTCTGACATAAGCAACTAATTAATCAATTGAGAAAATAATTAAACAGATTAATTGACAAAATAATCATTAGTTGTCGCTAGTTATTACTTACGACCTCCTTGACCAGTTAGTTTGACAAGCTGGACAATGAACTGGACAGTCTCCTGGTTCTATCCTTTTGCGAACATGTACAAGTTTCTTTTACTCAAATTTCTCGTCTTGAAGTCTCTTAACCAGTTAATTTAGCATTAATTTAACTTGGCATAGAAGGTCAACACACAGTAATAGTAGTACTCAGACAGAAGTGTTTACGTTTTTTTACCTGTTACCCGTAAACTGCTTCCACTGTGGTAACGGCATAATTCTCCAGAAGCTTTGAAAATGGTCAAACTGTATGTCTGCTTATCATTTACAGTCTGTTCCATCAGCCTGTGGGCTCACTCTGCAGGCTCACCTTTAACCTCAGAAAGAACCAGTATGAATAAATAAATGTCAAGACAGAGAGTCTGACTCTGAACTGCTAAACTGAACACACTAAAGCAAACAGACTATTGCATGTGCAGTTAACTTTTCTTTTTAAATGCACTTTGAGCTGTATTTAAACACTGAATGAACAAACAACTATTTAAATGTTTCTGAAACTATTTCTTGCTGTTACTATTCACTTATTGATTCCTGCCTATAAATGTGTATTTATACTGAGCTGCCTCCCCTCATGTAGTCTTCTGGCCATGGATCTTTTCCCTGAGGTTTTTGATGTTTTCTCTCTTGGTTTGAAACTTTCTTGGGATGTGTAGGATTTCTGACTCACGGGCCAACTTCTTTGCTCTGGCAAGCTTCGACTAAGTAGAACATTTTGTGATGCATGATGGTCACATGTTGCTCAGTAGGACGTCTCGGTTGACCTATAAGTTGGAAATTCTACACCTCCCCAAAAAAATACCAAGCCAAGAAAGAAAACATTCAGAAGCTCATAAAAGTCAACTTTACATGAGGACATGTACTGTTTAGCAGGGGAATGTTTAGCCCGGCCTAAAGATTCATAGATGAGAATAAATAAGGTAATAATAAACATAACACATGTTTTTCTTGAGGGATAAACAGTTTGATGATCAAGTGTGGCCTATTTCCTTAATATTTCATGGCAAGTTGTGGAAATAAAAAGGTCTCGATTAGATTCCCAGTAATGACTTTACATTTTGTAGTTTTACTGATGTTACTGCAAGGGAAGGAGGTCATCATTAGACTGGGAGGAAAAAACCTGAACTTTGAGAGACAGCAGAAACTTTTGGAGTGGTCATATGAACAATTTGGTACATTCTTTAAAGTAAGCAATGCCCTGTCAAGTCCAGCAGCACCAAACCAAAAGCCCACAACTACTGTGGTGCATGATTCAAACCACTGGCAACATCCAAGAACAGAAAAGCCAGATTGGAGTTTGTTTAAAAACATCTATGAGAGCCTGCCCAGTTCTGGTACAAAATTCTTTGGACAGAAACTACAGTTAACTTAAATTATAAAAAGAACGAAGTACGACGAAGGAAAATAACTCCGAATCCACAGCAGACCCCATCACCCGTCAGACATGGAGGGGTGTTGGCATAGGCATAATTGATTGTGTGACAATTGATAGAAGTAGCAGGATGAATTATGAAGTGTGTAAAGCTCTACTTTCTACTCACATTCAGTCAAATTCTGCAAAACCTCAACAACAGCCTGATCAGAGACCATGTCACAGTCACTCACAAAACTCTACACATTTGTTAACAGTTTTCACTGGAACAGCTGTTATCTGTCAAAGAAGTACTCCCTATTTATGTTCATAAATGAGCTCCAGATTGAAGAAATATATGAAAGTCTGTATTTAAAGGCACCCAGTATGACAGGATTGGTAGGACTGTGCGGTAGAAAAACAGATGTACAATACAATGATTATGAGCTAGATGAAAATTAATTGTTCTGCCAACATTGGATACTTTCTGAATGCATTTGTGGTTTTAGGTTATGGTTTGTTTGCACGAGTTATATCATACAACAAACAGTATAGTGTCCAGTGAACAGAAGGGCTGATTCATAACCTCTTCCTGTGAATCACATTTGTCAATGACTGACCAGGTTGCAAACTATGGAGTTGGAGGACAGTATGAGCCACATTACGACTTCTCGAGGGTGAGTTCACTTTCTGGGTGAAAGTTTATGTATTTTCAGTGATTTTTTTACTTAACATCTTCTTCTAAAAGTTTCTTTAAGTATGCCTGACCATTGCTGTGGACTTCAAAGTAATGTTTTCTCAATGTATTATACCTGGCAATCATCCATGAATATCATGTTATCTCAAGCTTTATGTGCTTTGTCTGTGCAGCTGCAATTTTAATGCAAAGAGGGCCATTGCAAGGAATTATATTTTGTTATTCTAGTACTCTGAGAAAAAAATGTACAAATAATGAAAATGATACATTTTTCTTGTTGTATTTTCATGTGCATTATATAATTTTAAGTATACAGTTTGAAGCTGCTTTAACACTATTAAAATGAGTACTTTTGACAGATGACAGTTTGATTTGAGTGCAGTTTGTGCCCTTTGTGGCGGACTCCTAGTGTGAGTCTTTTTGGTGATGGGTTAAACTTATAAACATCTGTTGCAGCGTCCTTTTGACAGCAACCTCAAGGTCGATGGAAATAGACTTGCTACCTTCCTAAACTACGTAAGTAACGCGTGCGCGGGTGTGCAGTTTGCTGATCACGTATTTTCACTCTTAAATTTTATCTTTGTAGAAAGATGAGCCTGATGCTTTCAAAAGATTAGGCACTGGAAATCGTGTGGCAACTTTTTTAAACTACGTAAGTACGTGCATCCAGTCGCCGTTGATTGAAGGCCGGTGGTGGCAGTCGCCTGAAATCTACTCTCCATCCTTTCGTTTCGCTTCACGGGCATAAGCATAAGCTCTGGTTCAATCTTGGACTTGGATTGATTGACCTTCGTAGAACTGGCCTGTAGTGTGGCACTAATTGACCCCTCTGTGTGGCATTACAGTTCTATAGTTGAAAATGTAGGACAAGAGGCTGAGAAACCTTTGTCAATAAATGTGTAAAAATACAGGTTGTCTGTCAATCAGTTCCAGTGCATATTGTGGAGAGTTTTGTTGGCCATTCCCCATTAACATGCTAGTAAAGAAGCCACTTTTTACTTTGCCCTTGCTAACACTGAGCTGTACGAAATAAAAAATGAGAAAATGAGAAAAGATTTTGTTTGGAGTTTGGAGTTTTAGCAATTAATATACTATTTAACTTGAAATATAGTGTGGTTTTGTTTCAAAAATAGTGAATTTAAAACTTCTAATAAAGAAGCTGAAGTTGATTATAAGATATGGACATGGTCAAACAGTATATTAGGACAGCATACAATTAAGCCTTTGTTTTCTGAAAGCAAATTATGGCTAACTAGCTGAAAATAATACAAAATTATTTAATGCAGTTAGTCCACCTATTAAACCATTACAGAAAGAATTTAGAATAAAGTATAATATTGAAAACTGTTCCAAAATGGCTCAGATGCATGAAACATGCATGTATCATAAGGACGACACCTCCCAAAGTAAACCGCCACTCAGAACCAAGTCGTATATGAATTATAGAGAATTTGTGTAACATCATGTGACATAAAGCAATTTGAGTAACAAGTAATCCTAAGTAACATAAAATAATTACATTTTGATATTACAGAATATGATGATATGATACCACTCTTCAAATGAGCAAATACAGAATTTGTACATGTGAAATGACATATAAAAACTTGGTCATGTTAATCATACCAGATGCATCTTTCGGTGTGTTGAAATTTTATATTTTCTAAATTGAAACAGCGGTATATTTGGTTAAGCTGCAGACAGACATAAGGGAGTTTTTCTCAGCATAATTGAGTGCCTTTGTGCATTCGACAACAGAGACAGAGTTTCCAACCAGGTTGTTGTCTTTTGTCAGATGAGTGATGTTGAGGCGGGAGGTGCCACAGTCTTCCCTGACTTTGGAGCTGCAATCTGGCCTCGAAAGGTAACAAAAATAACAGGATGCATGTTTTTCAGTTGTACACATGAGCGAAGATGTAATATTGTGCAATGTATACCAATTTCCCAAAGGCAACCCAAAAGATCACTTGATAAACAGATGTATCAGTAAATCGCTGCAACAGACATCTCAGCATGAAGCTCTATGTGCTCCAAGTGCTCTTTAAACCAACATGTGTCTCAGCGTCTGTTGGATCTTTATGTTTCGACTTTCTCATGCACACTGGGTGTTAACGTCATGTTTTTTCCTGGTTATCTCTTCTTCACAGGGGACAGCAGTCTTCTGGTACAATTTGTTCAAGAGCGGGGAGGGAGACTACAGGACCAGACATGCAGCCTGTCCTGTCCTAGTAGGAAGTAAATGGGGTGAGTCAAAGTTCAGACTTATCACACGCAATTAAAATATATTAAAGGTTCCATCTCAGGAGGAGTCTGCCACGCTTATTCACCCGTTAGAGCTGCTTCTGCTAACTCGAAAATGTCTCAGCCACAAGCAATTCCCGACACATGAACTCAAGAGTCTTCCTGCACTCCCAGCACCTGGGGCACTAACAGATCAGTGGATTACTTTTATTTTTGATGTCTCCACAACAATAGGGCAATCCTCAGTGTTAGCTTGTTGCGTTACCATTAGCTTTGATCGTATGCCCACCAGGTCAGGGCAATGTGGAAACTGTAACGCTGAGGAACAATTGGAAATAGTGGAAACTTTAAGATCAATTTGAAACAAATGAACACGCACAATGTGGGTTACTGTGTTTTCATGTTGTCATCTGTGTTTCATTGCAATGTAAACTGAGCCGGTGTGGGCCCTCTACATTTGTTTGCTTCTCTCTTGCCCACTATGCTCACATATACTGTGAATTTAGCTATGTTTACATGTGAAGTGCAAAAGCCTTCTTCCAAAATGGGGCACAGTATGGAGGCTTTAAAGAGGGGTGGAAAATTTTGACTTTTCTAGTTAAGAAAAATTCTAGTTATTGCTGAATATTAACAAATGTGAAGTCACAGAAAGTAGTTTTCCAGATGAGTGGAAATAATTACCCTTTTCATTGGCATTTAGGAAAATTGTGTTTGTTGCTACGTCATTGTCATGTTTCTTCACTTATGAATACTTTTTTTTTTTAAGCTGTACTGGAACTCATCATCCGATTAGAACTTCAAAAATAAATGTAGTTGTTTATTAATTTGTGTTTAAGTTGTAAAATTTGGATACATGTGCAGTTGATTTACAGGAAAATTATGAACTCGGGACAACAGAAGCCCTGTGTAAGATTTTAGGCAAATAGTTAAGACTAAATCAAGGAAGTCTGCAAGTCACAGCGACTGAATCATGGGAAAAGTGTTGTGACCAGTGTCGCGTGTTCAAACCAAAAGTTTGTCTACACTCAGTTCTGGTAGCTCAGACACATTCTGTTTGCGTCTCAAACAATTAGAATATCAGGACTTTTTTCTTTCTTTCATAATGTCATTCAAAAATGTAAAGTTGTATCTATTCTATAGTCATTAAAGTGAAATGATAAATGCCTTTTTTGTTTTGATTTTTGATAATTATGGCTCATAGGAAATCAGAAATCCAATATCTAAAATTGAAAGAATACTAGGATTGGTCAGATAAAGGATATACAATACAGAAATGTCCAACTTTGAAAAGTTTGTTCATTTAAACACTTGATACTTGGTTGGTGCTCTTTACCACAAATTACTGCATCATTGCGGTGTGGCATGGAGGTGAGCCGCCTGCTGAGGTGTTTGTTGAAGCCCAGGTCGCTTTGATAGCAGCCTTCAGCTCGTCTTTGGGGCAGGTGGTCAACAATTTCCCTGAGGTACCCTACCAAAGGGATCAATAAAGTTCTATTTAAATCTAAATCTAGGTGTTTCTTATCTTCCTCTTCACAGTACCCCATACGGGCTTTAATGGGGTTCAGGTCAGGTGAGTTGGCTGGCCAGTCAAGCGCAGTCGTATCATGGTCAGCACACCATTTGCTGCTAGGTTGTGCTAGAAAAGGACATCCGCATCTCCACTAAGCTTGTCAGCAGATGGAAGCATGAAGCGCTCTAAAATCTTCTGGTAGATGCTGCATTGGCTTTGGATGTGATTAAACACAGTGGACCAGCGCCAGCAGACGTCATGACACCCCAAATCATCACACACTGCAGAAACACTGGACTTCAAACCCTTTTATTTCTGCTCCCCTCCACTCTTCAGCCAGACTCTGGGACCTTGATTTCCAAATGAAAAGCAACATTTACTTTTATCTGAAAAGACAACTTTTTACCACTCAGCGCCAGTCCAGTTATTTTTCTCCTCAGATAAGTAAGATGCTTCTGATGTTGTTTCTGGTTCAGGAGTGGTTTGATATTATGATTGAGACACCTGTAACTCCTTTCCTGTGGACAGCTGTGCTTGGTGGCTCTTCATGCACTGATACCAGTTCACTGCTTGTGAAGCTCTCTGTTGTTTTGGAATCTTGAGAATCCTTTGAGGGCCACGGTCCTCCCTGCTACTTGTGTTGCGGTTGCTACGTCACTTTGTTCTTCCAGTGAACTTTACAATAATCTAATACACCATTCTGCAAACAGGTTGCATTTTAATAAATGACCTTCTGTGGACTACCCTCCACAACTACCCTCCGACGATTGTTATCTGGACAACTTTCAGTCAGCAGTTTTCCCCATGCTTGTGGTTGCGTGTACTAAACTAGACCAAGAGACACGCAGTATTTGTGCAGTTCTACTCACAATAAACTATTCAAATATTTTGAGATTTTTTAAAAAACTGTAAGCCATAATTATCTAAATTAAAATAGAGACATGGTTGAGATATTTCACTTTAGATGTAATTTTTACTGATGGAAAATGTTTAATATTCTATTTGTTTAAGATGTGCTGGGTTGAGGTAGGATCTTTGTGTTTCAGGTTGTATCAGAAGCAATTAAAGCCTTTCGATATTTTATCTAACAGAAGGATTCCTCCAGTACAGTTTAGTGTACGTAATCATTTATAGGTGTCTTGATATCTGATTCTATATCTTTCTTTTGTTTGTTTGTTTGTTTTTATGTCAGTGTCAAACAAGTGGATTCACGAGCGAGGACAAGAATTCAGGAGGCCCTGTGGCTTGACAGAAGTGGACTGAAGTTTACCGCACATCTATGCAACATATGAACACATTCACATACACACACACATCCTTCGTAGTGCCTTAATTCTGGCAACTCAGACACATTGTGCATCACTTACGTAAGTGTTCTCTCCTTCAACTTGTCTGCATGATTAACAAAAGGTTCACCAAGGAAGATAGATGCCACCGGTGTGTGGGATCTAACAGCAAACTGTCTTTTCTTCTCTTCACTTAAGGATGTAGAGCTCTGTACTCCTTCACACAGCGTCACACTACCCCCGCTTGAACGAAATAAACGGAAACATGACTTATAAATAAAGTTAATGAATTTAGATAAGCAACAGCACTGCTATTCTTGGTTTTCCAATAGTACAAAAGTAGATTTGTATGAGTCCACTGCCAAACTTTTTCACAAAATGTTCTGTGTTTTGGCTCTCATGTGAACAGTGTGTTTAATTGCTTTTACAACTTTAAACAAATCACCAGCATTAGTTGTATTACAGAGAACCCATAAGTAATTTAGGTTGTTCCGCATTAATTCTGTTTCATTTTCAAATTTCTTAACAAACTAAAATGTAATTTTCATACTCTACACATCTGAATACGAAGCAACAACTGTGCGAAGAAAAAAACTTGCGCTAGTCTTTGATAAATAATGAAATGACTGTTGTTGGTGATGTGATCGTGGACACAACTGTTGATTTTGCACTGCATTACAAATATCTGACAGATCCCACCTGTTACCTCTGCAACACAATCTGAGAAAAAGCCTCTCTGTGTTGGTCATTTTAAATAAAAATGGAAGGCTTTAATGAAAAATTACAGGGGAAAAAATCAAGTGAAATTTACTGCTATACCTTCATTCATAATGTCATTTCATTCTTTATCATTTGCACCAAAAAGTGTCTCATTCCCTTTCAAATTCGACAGAGAAGTACCTTTCCTCCAAATCATGTCCATTATGTGTTTATTTATATAGTGTTTAAATTATTACACTGTTGTTACATTGTATCCTCTTTCTACAAGATGGCAAACAAGAAAGTCAATAAACGGTGTCTTTTATCAAAATGCTTGTGTCTTCTTTCACCGTTAGTTATAAATGACAATAAGCACCGAGGATCGCTTTGTAATTTATTATCCACATATGTTATAGTTATGCCATCTATATTTTTGAGTGGAGATGATTTACAGATGCCTTTTTGGTCAGTGTTGCCAGTTAGGGCAGAAAGAAGTGTATGAACAGTTTATGGTAATTATAAAATACAAACAGTTTGATCCTGAGAAAAGCAGTTGATTTGCTTTTGAAGCTGAAAACCTGTAAGAGTCCGTAAACCGAGAAAAATGGACGGAAGAAATGCCAATAAATAATGTATGATTTTACAATTTTGTGCCAAGAAGAAGAAAGATATTTTCATGTATTGCTCTTAGGTGAATATGTGAAGTTTCTCAGCTGAATCTGTCCCAGCTGTCCAGTGCTGATTTTCTCTCTCAGTGTACTAATGATCCAAAACAAACACACCAACTCAGGAAGGGAGTGGGGAAAAAAAATGCAAAACCCAAAGACAACTTACACTAGAGAATTGCCTTGGAAGCGATGAAGACACGGGACTGAACAACATCGATACGTAGAAGCAACATGTGAAACCTGGGAATACATACTGTCCATAGGCAGGCTTTGGCAAGAGGCTAGACCAGGGTCAGGTGAGAGTAGTCAAGGGAGCAGCAGAAAAACGTGAGCAGGAATGGAAATAACGGTGAGTACTTCAAAATACAAAAACATAAAATCATGATGTAACGGTTAATAGGATGTTACTTAGTTTTTTAACTCAGAGGTTGATGCTTTTTGAACAGCTGTGGTAGGATTGTAGCACTAGTTTATCAGTCACATTATTCCTTCTACCTTCGTCCATCTGCTCACAGACAAGACTGAAACAGAATCCTGAAAAGAAAATGTCAGTTGAAATCAGGTTAATATTTCACAACACAGAATGTAGGAGCCACCATCCTTTTCTAAACTACAGGGAGTGCAGAATTATTAGGCAAATGAGTATTTTGACCACATCATGCTCTTTATGCATGTTGTGTTACTCCAAGCTGTATAGGCTCAAAAGCCTACTCCCAATTACGCATATCAGGTGATGTGCATCTCTGTAATGAGAAGGGGTGTGGTCTAATGACATCAACACCCTATATCAGGTGTGCATAATTATTAGGCAACTTCCTTTCCTTTGGCAAAATGGGTCAGAAGAGGGACTTGACAGGCTCCGAAAAGTCAAAAATAGTGAGATATCTTGCAGAGGGATGCAGCACTCTTAAAATTGCCAAGCTTCTGAAGCGTGATCACCGAACAATCAAGCGTTTCATTCAAAATAGTCAACAGGGTCGCAAGAAGCGTGTGGAAAAACCAAGGTGCAAAATAACTGCCCGTGAACTGAGAAAAGTCAAGCATGCAGCTACCAAGATGCCACTTGCCACCAGTTTTGCCATATTTAAGAGCTGCAACATCACTGGAGTGCCAAAAAGCACAAGGTGTGCAATACTCAGAGACATGGCCAAGGTAAGAAAGGCTGAATAACGACCACCACTGAACAAGACACACAAGCTGAAACGTCTAGACTGGGCCAAGAAGTATCTCAAGACTGATTTTTCTAAGGTTTTATGGACTGATGAAATGAGAGTGAGTCTTGATGGGCCAGATGGATGGGCCCGTGGCTGGATCGGTAAAGGGCAGAGAGCTCCAGTCCGACTCAGACGCCAGCAAGGTGGAGGTGGGGTACTGGTATGGACTGGTATCATCAAAGATGAGCTTGTGGGGCATTTTCGGGTTAAGGATGGAGTCAAGCTCAACTCCCAGTCCTACTGCCAGGTTCTGGAAGACACCTTCTTCAAGCAGTGGTACAGGAAGAAGTCAGCATCCTTCAAGAAAAACATGATTTTCACGCAGGACAATGCTCCATCACACTCATCCAAGCACTCCACAGCGTGGCTGGCAAGAAAGGGTCTAAAAGAAGAAAAACTAATGACATGGCCTCCTTGTTCACCTGATCTGAACCCCATAGAGAACCTGTGGTCCCTCATCAAATGTCAGATTTACAAGGAGGGAAAACAGTACACCTCTCTGAACCGTGTCTGGGAGGCTGTGGTTGCTGCTGCATGCAATGTGTGTCCTTGCAAAGAAAGGTGGCTATATTGGTCACTGATTTGTTTTGTTTTTGAATGTCAGAAATGTATATTTGTGATTGTTGAGCTGTTATATTGGTTTCCCTGGTGAAAATAAATAATTGAAATGGGTATATATTTGTTTATTGTTAAGTTGCCTAATAATTATGCACAGTAACAGTCCCCTGCACACACAGATATCCTCCTAAAATAGCTAAAACTAAAAAAGCCCTGCTCCAACTTCCAAAAATATTCAGCTTTGATATTAATGAGTGTTTTGGGTTAATTAAGAGCATGGTTGTTGTTCAATAATAAAATTAATCCTCAAAAATAAAACTTGCCTAATATTTCTGCACTCCCTGTATATCCAAGTTTTTGTCTTTCAATGTTAGAAGACAGAGGTACATATCCTATTTTAGACCAAACTATTACAACTCTTATTACAACTTATTCTAAATATGTCAGACATTGATTGTTTGCTTTTGATTTCGGCTCATTTTTAGTTACCTACTGAATTGTCTAGTCTTTGGTATGAATTTTATTGTTTGGCTGCTGAATTCCACCACAATCAAGAAGTAATGTGTATTATTTGAAATCAGTGAAGCTACTGCATAATCTATCAGTCATTTTTAGGTGTATTTCCTGTTTTATTTTGACATGTTTTCTGTTTTAACTTCCTCCCTTTGTCTCATTCCCTCCTTTTTTTGATTGCTATGCCTTGTGTCTCATTTGTGTCTCCCAAATTAGTTGTCTGTGTATAAATAGTCCTGCGTCTTCCCCAGTCTATTGAAGTTCATCCTGTTTGCAGCCTGGTTTTGTCTCCAGTATTAACTACCTGTTCACCACCTGTTTGTTTGTTTACCTCCTCGACTTTAGTTTTTGTATAACCTGCCTCTGGTGTCTGCATTTGGGTTCTTTTCTGATCTTCCATGACACATCATCAGTAGGTACACTTAAAGCTGGACTTCCTGATCCCCACAGGAATGATTTACCTCTACAAAAAGAAAAACAATCATTATCCATCCCCTATTTGTTTCATTCAGTGGTCCCCCAAAGGAAATACTGAAGGACAAAGAATGGTTCCCCTGTAATCCAAAATGCAGTATTCAGACTTGTGGGTAGGCATACTAGGACAAATGAGATGCTGAATAAGATGGGCCAGTGAGTTGTTTAAAAATTCATTACATTTTTACAGGCCCTGATTTTCATCCACTTCTCTTTGCTCCCTAACAGTCCAACTCTTCTGGCTGTCTGCGTCCCTCAGGTGTACACAAGACTCAATCCCAATGATGTGGAGTGAATTAGACTCAAAGGGACCTTGACTGTCACACTGAGGTCAGTTAAAAATGTACGGTCATGCACATAACCATGTGTTTTGTTTGTCTTAATCTCCCTGCAGTCAATGCGATTATCACTAATCCAATTTTTGTTCAAATTCATACACTAAAAAAATTATGTTTGAGTTTAGTAGAAAAACAACAAGAACAAAATGCAACAGTTTGCATCAACCTTTTTGAGTTACAACAACTTCTAATTAAATTGCGTTGAACTAGCAAACTAAACTGAGTTTGTAGAATACGTTTTTTCTCAGACTATCAAAGGCATTTTTAATGACCACTTTGGTACCACAAAAACAAGCTTTTCAGTGGATTACTCATAAAAAAAAATGCAATTGTTTCAACAGTGTTTCTGCATTATTTAAAATTTTTTAAAGCATTATATAGGTTAATACCATAATTATTAAGAGAAGATTTAAGTTGACAAATTAAAAAATATATATATTTTGGTACTGCAGGTGTGTTAAGTAGGTTAAGTGTGTTTAGTGATAAGTGTGTTAAGTAGGTAGGGGAAGAGGAAAGAAAGGAAGAGGAAATCTTGACTGAGAAAATGTAGTTATCGCGACGATTTTATTAAGCTACCTCAACTTAAATTCAGTTTTAAATCCATGAATGCAGAAATTTGAATTCAAATTACACATAATATTAAGTTGATGCAATTACCAACATTACCCTGTTTAGGACTTCATGTTGCCATACATAGAAGGTCTATCGGCGTCCATTGGACCCCAAGAAAGAGTATATGCAAATATTGGTTGGTATTCATTATAGACTTTTATACTACGTTAAATACATTTTCTAAGTTGACATATTTTTGGTTCCAAATGCATGACAAATGTCCCTCTATATTAAAAAAACAAAACAATCTGGAGTTAATGTCAACCCAACCCATCAAAATAACGTTTGCAACCTAAAAAGCTTGTCTACATCATTAAATTAGATCTCTTATCTTGCAACCATGCATTTAATTACACGTTGGAAAAAAGTCACCAGAATGACCTTTTCTAGTGTACGCATACCAGTTACCTGCTGGACACAACAGCATTCTTTCTCATGAAGCCTAATAAGTGGAGTTGAGTACTCTGAGCTGAGCCTCATCTCATTTGTATCCTGTAGCAACCTCATCTTTAATCTGGAGAGTATGATAACTGTGGATGGGCTGTGTCAACTTAACACCAGCGTTTAAAACTCATTAAAAGTCCTGGCTGTGATTCATTACCTTTGTGCTTAAGCTGAGCTTGACAAGATGTCAGAGGTCAAACTCTTTTCATTATACAAACATGTGGGAGTACATTTAGGAGAATTTATCAGGGCTCTGAGGTATGCTTGATGATTATACTGTTGACAGAATATGTCATAGTGCTGCTGAAGGGTTCTTAGGAGGTCCAAAATTCCTATTCTTAATAAATCACTGCGTTCAGTGTTACTGTCTAGCAAGGTGCTAAAACATCAAACAAGAATCTAAAAGCTTGTCAGTTGGTTCCCAGTTGGCTGTTTACACATCCTGACTTGCATGTCAGAACTTTATGATGGAGGTGGTTGAGGTTGAAAGGTTGGAGTGGGAGAAGAAGTGTCAAAGCTGCAGAAGTTGGGTGTGAATAAATCCCCCATCAAGCATATGTGAAGTGGCAGCTGCACAGATACGTCCAGTCCTTCATTCCTCTGCTCTCCTGAACAACCATATCATATAATATGAACTAAACATTTCACATCTTACATAATAAATAAGTTTTAACAAAATCGCTTACCTTTACATGACAGAAGAAGAAGGTAATAATAGGCTTCTTTACTGTGTGTGGATGATAATAACTCATGCCTGTGATGTAGGCATCGAAATGCATTTTTGCATGGAAGAGGACAAATATTCCTAAGATCAGTCACGGGGTTATTTATATTTGAGATGAGTTGTCTTTCTTTGACAATAGTTATACCTGTTTTCTCTATCAACTGCAATAATACAACAATGTCAGACTGCACGATTTAGTTAATGTGAATGGAACTCATTTATCAAGATTAATTCACGACTTGTTTTGTTTTGCAACTGTAATCCCAAATAAGATATTGAATTACATCTAATCGTTTGAGATGCTGAAGCTCAGGCAAATGTCAATTGATAAAATACTTTAGCTAAAAATGTACTTAAACTAATAAACAGTCTGTGTATAGAAATTGTTACCTTAAATCTCTGATTTGATCTCTATCTTTTTTATTGCAAATTTTTCTGATTTTATTTTTTGGTGTACCAGAAATGCCTTATTGTCTCTTTTCTCTGTTTTATCTGTGTCTGTTGATTATTTAAATGATCTTTGTTGACTGCTCCACGTCTTATATTATCTCACATTTTTTTAAAAATACTACACATTTATTATTTTAAATGTCTGTGAGACATTGGATAGGAAGAACATTTTGTAAATTTGCGAATCCGACAAGCTCTTGGTTGCTTAGAAGTAAACCTTGCGGCATTGATGTTATCCTGTCTGAATCCATTATCTATGATCAGGGCTTGTGGCCAATGCGGCGTGGCTTGTAAAAGAGTGAACTAAAACAAAAACAAACCCTTTTCACAGATGACATCTTGATATATACAAAGTGCATAGTTTCCCGCCATCACATTTAAAAATGTCTGTTGTACAAAGGTTGAAACACTTTTATTGACAATAAAGATACTTTATCATCATTGTGAAAATTAAGCTGTTGTGTGAACCTTGAATATGACATAATGAACATGAAGCGATTTCAAATAATTCATTTCACATAATTCAAATAAAGTTCACCCTCTGCCATCCCTGTTTATTTGTTTACAGGAGAGGACAACGTTCTTCAACAAACATTCACCTCTTCTATTAACAGTTTTCCTTCCAGAACAAGCCCGATGCATATGTAAGAACAGGAAAAAGTTACAGTACTGAGTTTTAAGGTAGAGAAGCTTGAATGTACACTTTTGTAAAGTTTTGAAAAGTACATATACCACAATATAGATGCATACATTCCACAGATGATATACAGATACAAATAAGCTACAGAATTATAAGAGCAAGATTGCTAAAAGGCTTTTTAAATAAAAATGTACCCAGTGTCTAAAATAAAATAAATGTGCAAATATAGATCATGCAACCAAGAAAAACATAATGCCATTTTTAAAAATAGTGTGCCAAAAACAGGAGGGTAATCATAAAAGAAATGAATACACTCACATTTAAATGCGTCTGATTATGATCAATATTATGACATTTGTAATTTTAACATGTGTGTCAGTTTTAAACTCAGAGGAAAAGTGCATCTGTAAATCCTTGTTCAGACCATAGTCAGGAGCAACAACAAAATAAATCATTGCCAAATGATTATTATCCCTGCAAAACGTGGAATTTTGATAAAGTAAAAATCTAAATTGTTTGTCAAAATTCTTTTGACAGATAACAAATACCACACAAAAACACTTCAACACTGCCTCAAAGCTTACTTCATGGTATCCTGTCTTAGCTGTCCACAATACAGATGCAAGAACATTCACTCTGAGACCTGTTTTGTAATGACAGCAATGGCAGCAATTGCAATCACTGCTCTCTTCTGTTGCTTTCAAATACACATTTGCACTTCATTGTTGTGCCCCTTAATATACCAAACCCTACTATCTGTTTTCTTCGATAATAGTTTTCATTTGGTTTCCAATGTCTTATGATTTCATTCTTATAAATAAAATATAAATACATGAGCTTGGATAAATATCATGCCTTGATTATTATACAACATATGAAATGCTTCCAATGAATGAAACTAGATGAAAACATTTCAATCATATGGTGTAGTAGAATAACATATCACTAAGAAATATGAATGATTTTTTTTGTTTTTAAGAAATGAAAAATGAGGCAGCTGTGGGTAAAATTCTTGCCCTTGATTAACTTCTCCCACATACTTTTCTCCTTGGCGCATTCCTAGCTATACATTTTTGTGACAGTTGATGAATATGGGCCTAGAAGACCACACACTAACTTACTCACGCTGCACTCTTCTGCTGAACAACTTGTTTTTTTGTGTTCACTGAATGAGTTTCCCATTGTGGGATAAAGGTTTCAGATCTGTGTAGCCCAAGGAGCCATTGGTTCCCAGTGCAGTAGGACATTGCTGATCCAGCGGCAGGTCATTGATAGGTGTACAGAGCACTAGGAAACGCTGAGGAGAGAAACAAGAGTTAAGTGAAATTCACCGAGTAGGTAAAATTAATTTAAAGAAAAAATACCATTCTTTATTAGTAAAGTTTCAATCATTCTTAGTTTTTTTTTGTTGTTCCCTTGCAGTATGACTCTTGCATGTCTCAATATGTTGGGTACAGTGAAATATCTGGTGTTTCACTAGGCCAGCAAGAAAATGGATTCTAGGGTACGGTCGACAGAGGGGGAACAGCAGCCTGAGTGTGCAGTAAGGATGCAATGGCTGAGAGGATCAGAAGTAAGTTTCAAACGCTTTGTGGTGTGGGCAGTTTCCTGTTTTTGTACACCTTTAAAAGCACCAGGATGTGAGAATGAGAGGCAGTGGTCAATGTGAGGGAAAGTTGATTCTGGACAAGTCGGTTTGAATGGTTTAGCAGCAGATTTTTAGAGTGGAATGGGCATGGGTGATGAAGATGGAGATGAGTGAAAAGACAGTCGTGTCGCAATGAATGGGCAAGACTTTGAAGGTGCTGGTAATGTCTGCTTTCGAGAGCCAAGCCTTGTGTCCTCCCAAGTGGACAAGTGTGATGATATGGTTGATGGCTGCGTGTTGCATGGAGAAATCTGGAGATGGAATAATACCATTGATCCCTGGTATGTGTGAACCGTGAGGAGAAGAAAACTCAAAAATGAACCTCTTTTTACCAGAGTCCTTCCATGTGGCGATGCCTATGGGGCTGATACAGATGACTGGGAAATCTGGGCTGTTTAATGGGCCTATCATGAATTTCTCTTCTCTTCTCTGACATCTTTGACTTGTAAGGTGTCGACAGTGCCGGGGTCACTAAGACCAGACCTAAGGTTGTGACAGGTGTAGGAGACTTTGAGGAGTGTTTCCATGCTGGGTTGGAAACCAAATGTGAACCCATTAATGAGAAGATCTACAAAGTCTTTGTTGGGATGGTTCTGGAGAGCAGTGGCTAAGGTCTTTACCATGATGGGTGTACTGAGATGCTTTGTTAGTCAGACTGCTGGTGTGGTTGGATTGTGGGGAGAGGGATTTCTTGCATGAGTGGTGCCACAAAAGAAACAAGTGTGCAGGAGTGAAGACCGAGCAGCCTAGATGATTGAAGCTGTTGCAGACCATCCTGGCCGGCCTCATTTGTTGATGCCCTTCGGGATTTAAACATTAAATGATGGACTTATTTCTATGGGTTTGGGGATGATGGGTGGAAGTGGTACTGCGGAAGATAGACGGTTAAGTGCCTGAGCATTGCATAAGGGTGAGGGACATGACCAGAAGGAGAGTGCAAAAATGTGGCAATAAAGTTTGTAACAAGTAAATGAAGAGCAATAAAGTGAAGGGGGAGGAGGCAACTGAGCAGATGGAGCTTGGTTAGACTGAGGTTTAGCCCCTTGGATGGTTGGATGGGGTGCTGGATCATTACTAAGAACAGGAGCCAATATTGCTGCTGAAAAAGGGGTAGAAGAATGGATGCCTGGCCACCACTAGAGGGAGCTCGTGATGTTTGTTGCGGCGCTGTGACGTCACAGGTCACGACCTTTGATGCCAGAAGCGCGGGAGGCTCAGAGTTTGTTGTGGCTGGAGTGGATAAGGAAACGGCTGAAACAACTTACTTTAGTGGCTAAAGAGAAAGTCACAGTCCCGTCTCTCATATCAGGTCTTGTAGAGGTCGAACGCGGTGGAGATGTCTGTCGGGAGTTGGAGGCAACAGTTGTCGTTGACAGAAGATGATTTGGAGATTTTATTGACTGTTGCTGTGGCTGGAGGAGAATTGTTCTAAACTCGAGAGTCTGGTGAATTAAGCGACAGTTTGGGATCCATGGTGACTATTCTCTCGCTTTCTGAGACAAACAGCGCTGGACGGGTTATCCAGGTGTAAGCAGGCCTGCCAGGTGATTACAGGTGATGATAGGTGTAGTTGTATGGGGCATTATTGTAGCAAGACTATCTGTAAATGTGTATGGAGAGCTGTGTGTCTGTATCTCAATCCGTGTGTCTGTAGTGAGATTTGTCAATGTATAAAAATATTTGTCAATGTATACAAAGATCTGTAAATGCATACAAAAACATGAATAGATGAAAAGTCTAAGTATTTGGCTACAAGTGCTGGAAATACAGACAAATCAGCAGCTACAAGTCAAGCGGGCCTCACACTTGGCTGTCTTTTTACACATGACTGTTGTTGCACTTGTGCTGTGAGAGATTTGTATCTGTAACTTTAGTGTTTATTTACCCTGACCTCAGGCTTACAGGCTCATTCATTCATAAAGGTGGTGCTATCCCCCAGAGTCTTTGAGGGCATGCATGTGGGTAGCTGAGCAAAAACTTTCATGACATCTTGCAGGCGACATAACTACTGAGGTACAGAGCAGCAGATTGTCACGCAGCTAGAATGAATGAGCCTGTGAGCCTAAACTTAGGGCAAATGAACCCTGAGGTTACAGATTCAAATATCTCAGGGCAGAAGTGTAGCAAAAGTCATGTGTAAAAAGACTGGTGATTTGTCTGTATTTCCAGCACTTGTGGCCAAATACTTAGACTTTTCATCTATTAATATCTTTGTATGCATTTATAGATCTTTTTATACATCGACAAATCTTTTACAAATCGTTTTACACATTGACAGTTTTTTTTTACAGATTGACAAATCTCACTACAGACACACAACTCTCCAAACATATTTACAAATAGTTTTGCTACAATAATACCCCCATACTCGCACCACACACCTAAACTTCTTTAAGAACAAGTTGAAGAATGTGACAATGAGTTCAGGGTGTACGCTCGTCCTCAAAACTTGCTGACAGTATGTTGGTGTCTGATACCACAGGACACGTGAGAACGTCTTGAGAAGTTCATGGCTCAATGCTTCACAGCTGTTTCATTACGGACCCACACAGCATTAGGCACGTATTTAGACATCTCAAATGTTTTTCAAGTCGTATTATCCTGTAGCTTATGGCAGCTGTTTGAGAACTCCTGTTGTGATGTCCTGGTGAACAGCCAGGAATCATAGCCAAGCAGTCTTTGCTTAAACTTTCTCAAACTTGAACGGTCCTCTGTCCCACTGCGACAACCAAGATTTGAGAAACTCGAGCAATTTGAGGAACCAGCGCACACACATTCAGCTGTGCCATTCATCCAGTCTCTGTAGCTCTTTGACACGGATGCCCAGAGTGGTCAAAGTGAGAAAAATAAATATATACATGTATACTGACACTATGTTTTACTACATCGAGTGCTCCATATGCTCCAAGGCATGTGTGATGTACCTGCTACCTTCGTCAAGTTGGAAAGATAATCACAGATTCAAACTTTAGAGATTAAAAGTGAAATGATGTTAAAACAGAAGTCTCTGTCCAATTGTCATGTGTAAACAGCTAGAACTTAATTATGTAATATTCTTGTAATGCACTTTTCAAACAAGTCAAAAGGATGAGTTTGTAGCATTCTTGTACGTGTAGTTCTTAACACAACTATGAAACTACAAAAAGAAAACAAGGAATCACACTCACCTGTTTGAGAGTGCCTTTTCCTTGGATTAATTTATGTATCACAAACAGCGGGATGAGGGAGAGGGAGACCGTGGCAATGAACCAGCCCAAGATGTTGGCCCAGAGTGGATAAACGTAATTGTTACTGAACTTCAGTGGCGAATATTTCATAATGGAGAAGATGAACGTGCCCTGAGATGAGATGAGGGAACATGGATTAATGTTAAATGCCTGTAATTCCACAAATAAAACAAAATACAGTAAAAAGAAAATAAATAAAACTGTGAAACTGAAGGACTGATGCAAACTCTAATGTAGAACCACTCAGGTGGGGAATATAAATAGAACAGATGATTACATGTGTTTAGGATATAATGCATAGTTACTCTTTGTGGGACACATTATGTTAAACTTTGCTATGATTGAGTTTGGATATTTGTGGTGTCAGGTGCTGCTGGGAGGGATTGAAAGTTAACTTCAAGAGTCAAAAGCAGATGAGGCATAACAAAATGCCATATGGTTGCCAAAATACAAATAATACGCGCACAGTCACTGCTGGTTGCCTCTGTGCATTTGGCTGATCTGAACATAATTCTCATGGCGAAGTCCTCCTTTTCTCTTATGAATATGCACAGGACATATGAAATCATTTATCACATGGAAGTAAACACGAGCAAGACAAAAACTTATATGAGAGAGTTAAATCAGTTACATGACGGACAATGACATTACATACAAAGCAGATGAGGGGAGTGATGTAGCACCAGCAGTACTTCATGAATGGGTTTGGCCGATAGCCGATCATGTCTGAGATGTTGCCATAAAAACGGTCAGCACCTTTAGCCAAAAGGAGAGAGATTAAAAAGGTCAGTCTCATATTTTATAAGCATGCCAAACACATAGACAATGGACCCCCTGAATATAGTTGCAAGCCAAGTTTAAAATCTGAAGAACCCTAACCCTAGTCTTTAAGTGGTTTGTTCTACAGCTTAATGTCAAAGATATATACATTTTTCAATCCACACTGAGTTTCACTGCTTATTTTCTGTAGTATTGATTCGCGACATGCTTTCTCACTACCTGTTCTTTCAGACAGTGAGTTGACACACACTGCAGTGCCCACATATCTCCACCTCTTCTCATTCACTCACTGTAATTTCTTCCTGTCATGACTCATCTCATTCACTCCAGTTAAATAGCACTTTCTTTGATGCTTTTTTAAAAAAATCATTTGTTACTTGAAAATGCGTAAAATTGCACTGCTTTGCTTTTTGCTTGCATCTTTCACTTTATTTCCCTTTTAAATGTATGAAAATCTCAGGCTTTTGAAGAAGTGCTGGAGGGCTGGAGCCTATCCCAGCTGACTTAGGGTGAAGGCAGGGGACACCTTGGACAGGTCGCCAGTCTGTCACAGGGCTACACTTAGTGACAGACAACCAAGCACACTCACATTCACACCTACGGATGTTTTGGACTGTGTGGGAAGAAGCCGGAGAACCCGGAGAGAACCCACGCTACACGGGGAGAACATGCAAACTCCACGCAGAAAGATCCCGGGTGTCCTCCTGGTTGACCTTCTTGCTGCGAGGCAACGGTGCTAACCACTGAATATTAGATTTACCTTTTAATAAAAATTTAAAATTTCACACTCTTAATGTTTTCCCTGTGGTATCAAAACTTGTACTGAATATCAATATTTTTTATGGAAGGTTGTCAAAAGGTAGAAATTCCACAACTGTGACTTACCGTAGACCCAGGCAATGCTGACAGACTGGCACAAGGAGAGGAGGAGCAAGGTGGTGCCGCTGCAGACATGATGGTCTAAAAGCTGGAGCAGGTACATTCCCCCCTAAACACAAGGACAGTTGTAACAAAAAATAAATAAATCAATGCAAAAAAATGACAAATAATGAGCAACATGATTAGATATGAACACTTCAAAGGAAGACCATGTTTGACTGGCTTTCCTACATCCTCATCTGCACAATAACAGAGGTAAGTTGGAGAAAAGGTGCTGAACATGCACATAGGCTAGTCTTTGCTGTCTGCTATTAATAAGGCAGTGTTACAATTTGATTCAATTCCACGACTAATGAAATCAGTCAAAAAAGTCTTTAATTTAACAATGGTCTTATAGACTGTGGCTGTAGATTCACATTGCGGTGACGGAAAGTTAAACATCCTACATTTTTATACATTTTATTCCATGGTTTGTCATTACTCATTCATTAGTATGTAAAAAAGCAAATAATTTCACTAAATACAATTATCTGCTTTCTTAAATTGTTGAGAGTTAGATGAGAGAATCAATAGCAGAAGCTGGACCCAGGCAAGGAATAGAATAGATGGAATAGTAGAGAAAACATTAAGGAATGTGTAGCTAACTGTCTCGTTTAATGCGTACTGCATACAAACCTCAGTGACCAGGGAAAGTCCCATCAGACAGCAGGTAGAGCAGATAGCCAGCAGAAGCAGTTCACGTCTGTAGCCTTGACGCAGGAAGGTAGGGAACAGATCAGCCAGTGATGTCATCAGACACTCCAGACCAACAAACTAGAAGGAACCAATTGGAAGGAGGATAATTAGTGTTTTGTTAATTCATTTATTAATTCATACAAAGAAACTCAGTTAGTACCTCGCTGTCCAGTCCAAGCAGAATGATCATGAGGAAGAAACACACAGCCCACACCTGAGGCATAGGCATCATGGCTACAGCTCGTGGGTAGACAACGAAGGCCAATCCTGGGCCTATAAATATACCCATAAAATGTAAATATCTCTAATATGACAAAAAAAATAATAATTATAGGCAACATACTGAGACAACAGAATTCAGGCTTTCATGTGCTAATGATTTTCCGATATGCACTAAACACAAAGTAAATCCGAGAGTGATGAGAATATTATTATTTATAAAGCAAAGTAAAGACCAGAATTATAATTTTGCTTCATAATGGTGCTAGAGGGCACTAGGTACCTGAAGACAATGAAAATTTGTACAAACCTTTATGACAGTCTATCTAATAGGAACAAATGGTGGACCAGCCATCGGACTGAAAGACAGACTGATATTTGTTTCTTGTGTCTTTTGTTTCAGATGTAAATCAGCCAACGGTTAACGTTTTTCTTTCTTTTTTTTTTGCAGTCTGCAGTTCAGATGCAAATATCTACATACAGGGTATAGAATCCAAGGTTTAGCATCTTAGACATGTGGATTTAGATGTTGCTCTGACTGTCCACCAAAAACTCACTAGTGTCTCACAGTTAGCAGTAATTATGCTCACCTAAGCTCAGATGCATGCTTTAAGTTAAAGGCAAACTAATGAAAACAGAAACAAAAATGACAGAAGGAGCTAAAAAGAAAGCTTGTTAGGTTGGAAAGATAAAGAAACAAAGGAAAAGAAAGATAACATAATCCATCCATCCATCATCTATACACCGCTTGATCCTCACGAGGGTCGTGGGGGGCTGGAGTCTATCCCAGCTGACTTAAGGCGAAGGCAGGGGACACCCTGGACAGGTCGCCAGTCTATCACAGGGCCACACTTAAGGACAGACAACCAAGTTCACACCTACGGACAATTTAGAATCACCAATCAACCTCAACATGTTTTTGGACTGTGTGGGAGGAAGCTGGAGAACCCGGAGAGAACCCACGCTACACGGGGAGAACATGCAAACTCCACGCAGAAAGATCCCGGTGCCCCCACCGGGGCGCGAACCGGCAACCTTCTTGCTGCGAGGCAACAGTGCTACCAACTGCACCACCCTGCAGCCCCAGATAACGTAATTTAACATAATTTTCAAAAAGAGCTCGTAAGGGTGCAGTATCAAGCAATCAAAACCATAAGATTCATTCTGGTCTTGAAACTGTCACTGCAGTGGTCACTATAGTCGATACTTGCCTGATTCTGCCACTTCAGAAATGTCCACTCCTTGTTCGTATGTCATGTAACCCAAAATGGAGAAAATGGCAAAGCCTGCCACAACACTAGTGGCACTGTTCAGCAGACACAGGTAGAAGCAGTCCCTAAAAAAAAAAAAAAAAGTTATAGAAATGTATGATAGCATTTTACTGTTCTGATCTTTTAAGGAGCATAATTAACAAAAGTTTCTGTGTCAGGGGAAAAGACTGCTTAATTTTGCTACATTTTTCTTTAAAGATAAAGCTATATTTTGATTGTTATATCCATAACACAATAGTTTTGACAGTCTAGCACTGCACTTACCTGTAACAATTGTTGTTGTAAGTGTTGTAGCTCCCAAGGGAGGTGAGGAAACCAAGGCCGACAGCATAAGAGAAGAAGATCTGAGTGCCTGCATCCATCCACACCTTAAGAGGTGGAACAAATACATGTGTGTGTGTGATTAAATGTCTCTGTATAGCGAAAACAAAATATCTGTCTCAAAATTGTATGTGCTTTCCTACCTGGGCATCTGTGAGGCGAGAGATATCAGGGTAAAGGTAGTAAATAATCCCATCTTTTGCCCCCGGTAGGGTAACGCCACGTATGAGCAAAACAAACAGCATAACATAGGGGAAGGTGGCTGTGAAGTAGGCTGCCTGAAAGGTATGAGAATAGATAGAAGGCTAAATACATTTCATTGTTTGTTGTAGGCTATGAGTTAAGTTTTGAAAAATCCGATCTCCTCCCTTTTATCTTATGTCAGCGTTTTTCCATTTAAAGATGCAATATGCAAGGTTTTGAACGTAACTTGTTAATGCGAGACCAAGCAATTATCTGCTATGTAAAGGAATAGTGGGGTAATGGCACTTCTGTGTGTGCTTCTCTGTTCTACATTTAGGTAGCTGCATGCCTGTTGGCGTCATTGTCGTGGGTTTTGGCTGCCGGTTTTGTTCCATTATTGTGAATCATTCCTGTGTGCTTTCCTTTTCTGTGTTTCCTGTGTCTTTGTCAATAGCTAATCAATAACCTTGGAGGCAGGTGTACTGCTCTTGAAACAGTTTCCACAGCATGAACAAGCTTTGTTCTCACCAAGACGTACAAGACTCAAAAATAGAAAACCCTAACCTTTACTCTAACCAAAACCGAAACCAAATCCAAAAAAGCCCCAAAACGTAAGTGGTTTTGCTTTTTGTGTTCCAGTGAAAGAAGAATTTAAGTAAAAGTGCAAATACAGACTGATGTTGGAGTTTGTCATCCTTCAGTGGATGTTAAAACTTGTAACAACATTAATATTTGTGAGACCACTAAACTGGTTTATACTGATTTTTACAATAGTAAATAAAGCATTGTACAATCTTCTCCGACACATGCGTATTTGTTTAAGTGTGGAAACTTTGACAACTTGGAATACTCTAATAAAGTTCTGTGATTGCATTATGATTTCAGTGGGCATTTTTAGATCGAAAAATATATATATATTTTAACATGTATTATTACTGACAAATATAGACGTTATTTGAATGTGTTCATGGGATGCAAGGTGGCACAGTTGGTAGCACTGTTGCCTTGCAGCAAGAAGGTCGCCGGTTTGTGTCCCGGTGGGGGCACCGGGATCTTTCTGCATGGAGTTTGCATGTTCTCCTTGTGCACCGTGGGTTCTCTCCAAGTTCTCCGGCTTCTCCCCACACAGTCCAAAAACATGTTGAGGGTAATTGGTGATTCTAAATTGTCCGTAGATGTGAATGTGAGTGTGCTTGGTTGTTTGTCTCTAAGTGTAGCCCTGTGATAGACTGGTGACCTGTCCAGGGTGTCCCCTGCCTTTGCTTTAAGTCAGCTGGGATAGACTCCAGCTCCCCCGCAACCCTAGTGAGGGTTAAGCAGTGTATAGATAATGGATGGATGAATGAATGCGTTCAGATGAGTTAACATTAACTGAGGTGTTGCTGAACTTACATAAAACTAATGTTTTTGCTAAATAATATATTGCCAGTATGCATTTAGTAATTATACGAGGTGTGTCAGAAAAGATCCAGGACTGTGTCACAAAAGATATATTTAAGATAAGATAAGATAAGATAAGATAAGATAAGATAAGATAAGATAAGATAAGATAAGATATATTACTATATATATATTATATTAAGATATATTTACTATATTTCAAATCAAAACTACAAACTACAAGTTTTCCCCTTCAAAGTATTCCCCCTGACACACACACTTTTCCAGCCTTCTCTGCCATGCCGCCATACACTCCTGGAAGGATTCTTCTGGGATCCTCCACAGCTCCACCATCACAGCCATCTTGTCGTCCACATCTTCAAAACAGGTCCCCTTGATGACCCCCTTGAGCTTGGGGAAGAAGAAAACATCCCACAGAGCCAGGTCGGGTGTGTAGGGAGGTTGCTCCAGCACAGCGATGTTCTTCTCAACCAGGAACAGTCGGATGCTCAGGGCATTGTGAGGAGGTGCGTTGTCATGGTAAAGCAGTCACGACTTGTCCTGCCACAACTCTCTCCCTCTTCTTGTGCACTGAACGAAGCAAACACCGCAGGATCTCTTTGTAGACGTGCTGGTTGATCATCTGTAGGGGAAAACTCGTAGTTTGGGTTTGAAATCTATCAGAGCCTCTCTCTGCATTTCACTCCAAAACCTGAAATCATGGATTTGATCAGCTGGTCTCGTAACGCAATTGATCAAATTTTCTCGACGAGAAGACTGGGCAAAGGTGAGCCCGTCTGCCCTGACGGAACGTTTGCAGAGGGATACATGATGGACTCCTAGCAGGAATGGAGGGTCGTGTACCTCTCTATACTTTCTGCGGAGCATGTTTGCAAAGTTTGGAAGGCGATGGCAGCACTTTCGGCAATTGAGAAGCTGCCTGTCATTGAGCGAATGCTTCAGGCTGTCAACACTCAGACTCAAGCGATATGCGAACTTAATCGCAAACTGGATGGGATACCAGAACTTATTCGCATGATGGGTACCAAGTTGAACAGTCTGATCCGGATGTAATGGGCCATCAAATTTGGCTTTTCGGATCACAGAGAGAACCAGTGGGACTTTAAGACTGACGGTAAATTGCAAACAATCTTCGTTATCTTCATTCGGCTCCCCCACTTCGGCCTTGGAAGGCTGATATCTCACCACTTCGCCTGCATGTTATGCAGACAGATGCTCGGCCCCTCCCCACCCCCCTCCTTCTCCTGTGAACTTTGTCTCTGGATCAGAAGTCTTCGAGGTCTTCTCCATGGCAACAGCCATGTCTCGTCACCAGCATTAGACGTCAGAGACAATGTTGAGTCTGGGCGGCGATGAACTCCATGAACTTATACATACACATACATGAAGACACACGTCATACACACCCCCTGGACTCAACGCCTTGGTTGGCTCTCCACCCCCCTCTCCATCCCTCGTCACACGGCAGTATGCTGCGCGCTCCCCCCAGTGTCTGAGCTGTGACACCTCCCCTCCCCAACACCCCTCCCACATGTGCAAGTCTTGAATTTGTTGTTGTGATGTTTTATTATGTTGCTTATGTGCTGAGGTGTTTTATTCCTAATCCCACACTATTATATCTTAATATAATATATATATAGCAATATATCTTATCTTATCTTATCTTATCTTATCTTATCTTATCTTATCTTATCTTATCTTATCTGATCTGATCTGATCTGATCTGATCTGATCTGATCTTAAATATATCTTTTGTGACACCAGTCCTGAAACTTTTCTGACACACCTCGTAGTATGATCAGTGTCTTGTCTAGAAGGTGGGAACTAAATGCGTAATTGCATACCCTTTTCTGAAGAGATGTAAAAATACACACTCATGACTGTGTGTGTGTGTTTTTTTGTGTGTTTTTCAGCAGCTGACCTTTCCTGTGGACTTGATGCCCTTCCAAACGCAAAAGTAGCAGATGACCCAGCTCAGGATGAGACACAGCGCCAGTTCCCATCTCAGGCTGCCCACCTCCTCGATGCCGCTAGAGATGTTTAAAACCCGACGCCTGGTCAAATGAGTGGAGCAGAGGTGGGGGTGAGAAGGAAACCGTAAATGCGTGACGGGGAGAATGGAAAGGAAACTGAAAAACTTGGAAAAAGGAAAACTGATTGACAGCATGAGCAGGTGGATGAGTGACAGAAAGGAAGGGGAGAAAATTAGAGGAAGGAAAGGGAAGTGAAATTTGAAGAGATTGGAAGAAAAATAAGGTATTCATGTAGAACTTGTGTCTGTTGACAACATGCTTACTGCCAGAACTCCATAACTGGAAGAGTGCTGTTCAGCCTGAATGCCTCGCTCAGGTTCTGATTGTTGACGTCCAGGCACTTATCTAGCATGTGAAAATAAAACACCTGTAAAGTATGCGCATTTCCAAAGTAAAAGTTGCACTGTTAAAAAAAACAAAAAAAAAACATGACCTTCAAAACAACCAAAAAGAGAGGCTCCTGTCTCCTAACAGTTTTCTGTCTTTGCTGTTATTTTCTCTCATCTTAAGAGTTGCATATGAAACCTCTGCATTGTATATATTATCTAATGTTTGGTTAAAAAAGAAGTAAAACTACCTGTGTTCCAGTAGTTTCCACATGTGGCCCAAGGCAACTCTGCACTGAAGGAGGAGAACAGGTAAAAGAACGCCCAGGCCAGGATGACGATATAAGACGTTGCACTGAATGTGATGATTAAGGTGCTCGCATAGCCCATGCCTAAGAAACAGGAAAACATGAGATGAGCGAGGGCGACGCATTGAAAATATCATGTTGCTGCTCTGAACTGTGAACAAAGTAAGATTCTCAGGTCGCTTATTTCACAAAATATCTGCAGTAATTCCTTTAAATGCATTGTAATGCTGTTAATTTGTGGTGAAGTGACTTGCATCGAGCATAACAGTACAACAGCGAGCTCTAGTGAGAGCACACACGTTTGACAGTACCATTCATCCTGCCAACGAATAGGTGAGTGCTTCTTTTTTGTTGTTGTTGGCGCGTCACATCTTCCTAAATTGTGCAGTTACATTGACTCAGTGTCTGGTGGCATCTCAAACAACCTTGGTCTTGATATTTGGGATTCTTTTGGTGAACTTGTTTTGTTTTGTGGAAATTTATACGGCACGGAACAAAGCACAGTACACAACAGTCCTCGTGATCTGAAGACCTCAGCGACACTGGAACAGTTACAATAACTCTTTTGTGGAAAATTAATATGAGGTTCTCCAGGATAAACATGACATCGGTGCGCCTGCACGTCTTCAATTTGCTGAAGACATTGACATACTTTGAGTTGGACCTTTTGCAAGTCAGTGATACTCTCTTAGGTACTCAATAAGCTACTCACCTACTCACCTCTCTCTCTCTCTCTCTCTCTCTCTCTCTCGTACTCTGTCAGTCATTTTCCATGCAACTGTCATTCATGGACTCATTTCTGAGTTAATCATTCACTCACTCTGTCTTCATCAGTTTGCATTTGATGTACATGTAACTTTTTTTGCACTCTTTATGTGCAGTGTATGCTTTGCTATTTTAAACGATGACAGTTTAATTTATTTGCTTGTAATGTGCCATGTGATGCTCATTCGCCCCAAAAAGTTTCTTACAGGGGGACACATTCACTATTCCAAAGGTGATGTATCTTTATTGTATTAAAATGTGTGTTCATATAGAAATCCTTTCTGCAGATGCCACTTTGGTAGATGTAGTATTTTATGTGCAGCCTGCAGATGTTTACTATAACCTGCTCATGCATTACCTGCAATATCTACACAAACAGTAGGGAAGTGTGGCTCTGTGATGAAGTTGTAGTTTATTTGCTCTTAATGTGCTTTTTTTATGCTCAGTTTCCCCTCAAAGAAGTTTCTTACAGAGATCCACAGTTGTACTTATTCCAAAGGCAATGTTTTTTTTTCTTTTCTTTATGTACTGCATGCAAAATTGTGAGAAAAAAAAGATTGCAAGGTAATCCTTAGTGAATGTAGTAATCTCATCTACCAGAGTAACTTTTGCAGAAGTTAAACCAAGTGCTCATGCATTCACCTGTAAATTTACAACTTTCTACTGTATTTACACAAATTTAGCAAAGTGCAAATTTCAGCAACAGCAAAACATTGATTTTAACTGCTGACAACGCTTCTGTCCGTTTGTTGTTGCTGTTGTTGTATTGTAGTGACCGACATTTTCGAGGGTAAAAAAAAAAGAAACCTTTTTTCATTCTTACCTTGGAAAAGCGGACAGATATTTCTCCAACAAGTGATGCCCCCCTGGCTGGTGTACTGTCCTAAGGAGGTCTCAAGGAAGAACAAGGGGATTCCACATGTGAATATGAACAAGATGTACGGGATGAAGAAAACTCCTGTTAAAAAAAAGAAAAAGAAAACGGGTTTTCCCTTCTTACTGCGCGGAGAGAACAGAAAGACGCACAGAAAAAGCCAACTTGTCAGCTGAGCGCAGCGCGTCTGTGCGCATCGCCTCCACCCACCTCCACCGTTCCTGTAGCACAGATAGGGGAACCTCCACACGTTCCCCGGACCGATGATCGCGCCCATCACAGTGAGGATGAATTCGGCTTTGTTCCCCCAGTGCCCTCTTCCCTCCACTTGTTTCTCCTTCTGTAGATATCCATTTGGCACACAGTCTGCGGAGGTGCCCAACTTTCCGTTCACGGTCATGTTTGTTCCCCTACTCAAAGCTAAGTTAGGTTCCGATGGGGCCAATTTTCATTCTTTTTTTTTTACATATATATTTGCGCACTGAAGACTGACAGTTGTGGTACTGTGAAAGGTGTTGGATGAGACACTAACGAGCCTATTTATGTTGCACAAAGGTACACGTGAGTATTGGGGTTGCCGGGGGGTGTGTGTTCGTGAATGGAAACGGGACCGCCTCAATTCATCCATCGCTAGAGCCAAACAGTAAGAATCTTTATAATTGATTATCTTTGTTCTTATAACAAGACAACAGTGCTTGTAAACAATATCAATTCGATTTGAAGAGACACGTGACATGAGCAAATATACTTTGGGGAGGGGGATGGGGGGAATGCACAAATAAATACATGAAATAATGAAAAAAACAAAACAATCCTTGGTGAAAATATCTAAATAGAAGCAGTCTCCAGGTTTTAATGAGTCCAACTGCTATAAAGAAGAGAAGACAGTTCAAAGTGGACAGAAAGACCTACCTAGACACTGAAACGTGTTGTTGCACATTTCTTTTCTGCAGTCAAATGTAGAATGATGACTTTTGCATTGTTTGCTTTTGTTGCAGCATTGATATCTTGTTGTCTTGTTGCTGTAGCCATAATCACCATGATGTGTTTAAATCAGTTTCTCTGTTCAATAGTCAATTCAAGTAAATGTGCAATATGTAGTGAGGCAAAATAAGTGTGTGTGTGTATATATACACACACACAAACACACACACTCTTACAGTAAGACAAATGACCATGCGATTATTTATGTTTATTTAAGAGAGACTGATTCACCAGCTATACTTCTTCACAAAACATTCAATAAAAAATGGGAACCATTGTTCTGCAAATGCCCTGTAATTCCATCCACCACATGCCGTCAGTGAACCCTTGTAGAGTCAAACCAGAATCACAGGACTCTTGGTCTCGCTTGGTAATGAGATGAATTATTAACAGTTTTTAGTTACTTCATTCAAGAAGTTTGACATCCAAGGGTAAGCTGTTTTGTCTCATTATGTATCATTCTGGACCCGAGGTTAGAGTGAAAATGTCTATTTCAGCAAATCAATTTGCCAAATGGCGTGAAAATATGAAGCATGAAGACTAAATTTTTCCTCTTTTACATCAGTTAGGAGTTCTTCGTAGACATCGCTGAGGTTGGATCTTATCTAATTTTGTCCAGGACAGTGGATTCTACTCTACTAAAAGAAGAGTCATGATCAGTCTGCAATTATGCTTGAGATGGAATAGTAGAATATTCTCTTTGCTCTACAGAAGATAACAGAGGGAGCGGCTTCAATAAATATTCATTTTGCATTTTAAGAAATATAGCATGGATTCTTAATTAGTTACCTAACGTTCATGGATTTCTGATGGTAGTAAAAAGCTAAGCAGTTGTATGATCAGGTCTTTGATGTTTCTCAAAAGTTGTTCTAGTTTAAGATGACTATAGAATTTTAAACATAACTCTGGGGTTTCTTATCCTAACCTCTATATTAAAACCTAGCAGTTCACCAAGAGCCAGGTCTTTTTAAAGGAAAGCTGCCATTAACAAATGTGACTGATAGGGTGACGAGACTATGAAGGCTACATAGTAGAGTTAACTATCAGAGTAAGAGGGGTAGGCATTTGGATGAAGGCAGTTAGAAGCTAGGCGAGTTTCCTTGACTCCAGCTTAAGTTGTTCTACTGAACCTATTAGGCCTCAGTCCTATAGGCAGATAGAATCTAACCTTAGCAACGGAGAGCTGGAGCAGTTAACCTGATCAAGGGTATATGCAGCAGACTAACAGGTGGCATCTGAACAGGGACTTGTCAAGTCCAAATCAAGAACCCCAGAAGCCCAAGGGGGCCTCTGTATCCTGTGGTTGGACCCGAAAAGTGAAAACTGTAGCGGAAAGGAGTTCTGCTCAGGATTTACTGTGAAGAAGTGATCAATTGAGAGGAAGCTCAAGATCACCAGCCCTGCAGAGAGGTGCTGGAAGCCCCGCAGGAGGGAGATGCGGAGGTCAGACAGACCTGATCCAGTCCAGACGGCACCAGAATTTCCTCAGCTGACCAAAAGAAATACAAAGGATCATTGCAAGACTAAATCGAAATCTGGACTTTTCTACTCCTCCTGTTTGATGGAGAATTCTTACTGGATTATTGGGATTTTGTACAGGGTTTTTCACCTCCTTTAAGATATTCTACGGGACTCAGGTCAGGACCAGGTGGGGCAGCTAAGGCCAAGCTGCCTCCCCTCCCCCTTCCAAATTAGGTAACTTAAAACTGTAACATGTAAACTTAAAATGTGAGTAGTGGAACAGACTGTAGGCTTCAACCGCAAATGAAGAAAAGTTTCTTAAATTCAAACCAAGCACATGTCCAAGCAGGCCATGTGTCTACATGTGGTTGTTATATACTGATTATATACTTTTGGATGAAAACATATTGACGGTAATATCTGGAAGTTAAAATTGTACTAATAAAATGCTCTGATGGTACATGCATAAAAGAAAAGCCCAGATAGGTCAGATTCATTGCTTCTTTTGAAACTTTACACCATGACCATCTATTTTACGAGTTATAAGATGGACCGACTCATATGGACTTACATCATTGATACATTTTGTCAGTATGACTTTCATCTATGAAATACATTTAGACAGGAAGTTAAGATGGTCGGCATTGACATACATTTGATTCTAATTTACGACACAGAGGAACACCAAAATCTGTTTTTTAGCTACCAAATTTTGCTAAAAAATGTTAAGTCACTGTAAAATCTCTGCACATTTTATTAAAATTCACTTAAACTGTGAATTTTCCCCCCCACGACCCTAGTGAGGATTAAGTGGTGTATAGATAATGGATGGATGGATATCTATTGTTACATGCAGAGTGGAGGATTTATGTATGTGTGTGTGTGTGTGTGTGTGTGTGTGTGTGTGTGTGTGTGTGTGCATGTGTCTCCCTCTCCACCTCCCTCCTGCAGGTGATTATTGGAAGATTGGCAACACCTGCGGGTTTCCTGCTCCTGCCACCTGTGAGCTCCCGAGGAGTGGGTGATTGGCCTTTTGTTTTCATTTTCTTTTCTTACAGAAAGATTTGAGGTAGGCCCTGTTTTATTATATTTATTTCTCTGATTTGGCACGACCCCACAGCTGACCCTTCCCCCACACTTTTGTTCGTCATTTAATTTATTCAGTTCTTGTAAATGAATAACTTTCTTCACTGGCATCCATTCTACTTGTGAGTTCTTCCGTTATTGACAGTCGGAGTTACGTTACTGTAAGCAGGAATGTAACACTATCTGTTATCTATACACCGCTTACTCCTCACTTGGGTTGAGAGGGGGTTGGAGCCTATCTCAACTGACTTAGGGCGAAGGCAGGGGACACCCTGGACAGTTAACAAGTCTATCACAGGGCTACACTTAGAGACAGACAATTTAGAATCCCCAGTTATCCTCAACGTGTTGAGAACCCATGCTGCATGGGGAGAACATGCAAACTCCACGCCAGGATGCGAACCGGCGACCTTCTTGCTGCGAGGCAACGTTGTACGTAGTATACCTATATGAAAAACTAAATTTGAAACCGTTATTGTGATGTGTTCTTTTCCCCTTTGCTGAGACTGCTTGGTCAAATCTAGAATCTGTAGGCACCTCTGCAAAAGTGGGTGTCTTCAAAGCTCATCCACTAAATGGTTCTGACAATTACACATAGTTTTAGGACCGACCTTTAGGTGGCACCACTTCTCACCCAATTGTCCCTGCATCATCCATACACTTTACTACAACAGGTGATGTTCTCCATAAAGCATGGAGTAACAAATGATTTTTCAGATTTACCAAAGACCAACTGTTAATTTTAATTCAAATTTAAAAAATAATAATGATGATAAAAACATGATGTTGCAAATCAATGAAAAATTAGGAAAATAGTGCATCACACATACACTGAAAGATCATTTACTGCAAACTACTGTAAACTGGGATAGGTTAAAGAGTGACCTTCCTATAAGACAACTGTATCTGTTAATATTTTATTTTCTTTATCTGCCCAAAGGGTTTCATTTTTAGAATGTTACATTATAAGTCATCTGAGGTATAGTTTTCAATTTGTTTCAATGCAGTGCAGGTGCACTTATATGCAAATTACACATTTTGTTAACTTTTTTGGAGAGAAAAGAACCAAATCCAAACCCTGCAGCACTTGTATTTAATTTTTAATTAATTTTTAAATAGTCTTTTCAGGTGTTGATGCGCTGTTAGATACACTTATGTATTTAGTGACCTCACAAAATAGGATATAATGGGCACATTCAACTAACTTAGCTCATTTCAAGTAGGTTAAAATTTGACAAAATGAATTGCAACATGTTCCAAAGCCTGATGACACTTCAAACCTTGTATTAACAGCTTTGGACTCTCCAAAGCAACTAAGACTCTGAAAAAGAAGCTACAAAGCAGGAGTAGACTATGGTTGAAGTGCATCCAGTTTGCACTGTTCACTGTCCAAGATGTCTGGCAGTAGAGGGCAGTTGTGGAAGTCATAACCAGATCTGAAACTCCAATAAAAACCTCACATAAAAGTGCACATCTGCAGAGCAGAAAATCATAGCAGAAGGCTGAAGGAACTGCAAGAAGGCTGAACTGGAACACGAGCACCATCCTGGTCCGCTGTGCAGCACTGACAGGATCTGCATGGAGGAGTCAACAGAAGGAAACCTCCATCACGAAAATCAAAGCATGCAAGTGAGTCTGGACGTGATGCTTTGCCGTGTTCTGGTGGACTGCAGCGGTACTGGAGCCGGCTGGCCTGGAAATCAGTGAGCTCATTCCGACTGCATGGAGAGGAGGGCGGGGCTCCCAGCATCATCACCACCGGCCATCACTGCTTCATTGTACGGCTGCTGCTGATGCTGAGATCACAGCGGAGGAGGCGATTCTTTTTTTAGAAGGAAAAAAAAAGGGAGCATGCAATGGACACGGTTTCACAAAGATTAGGACTTCACACATTATGAGAATCCATTACGAGGTAAGGCAACGAAATCTGTGCGTAATGCCGCCTGTTGGTGGGTTTATCACCGTCTGAACTGGGAGTTACTGGGACTAGCGGGCCTGTTGGTTTCAGTCAGACTGATCATCTCAGTAGCCGTGCGAGGTTCGTTTTAATTCCACTTTGAGAAATGTAACATCCAAGCAATAGATCCTAGAATCGTTACGCGTAACGGAAAGCCGGTCGACGTGTCTAATTCGGTCGTGTAGCTTCGCCTTAGCTCGCATATCGGAAGTGGCAGAGCTCGGCCTACACCAGCAAGCCCTTTAAAGATGACGGGGGTAGAGCCTGGGAATCCACAGCCTCCTCACACACGACGGCGGATGCTCACACTGCATCGAGCGTCTTCTGTCCGTCTCCTCCTGCACCTTGGAGGCTTTTGGTGGCCTTGTGCTTGTTGTGCGGTGGAGATTCCAGCTGTTCCTGCTTGTGCAGCAGGTTAAGCCAGATGCGCATCGGCTCATATGTACGTGTGCTGGGCTCTGTGTGCATTTTTCTGCATGACAGATCGTTGCACATGTTTTGAAAGGATGCTGCAGTGATGCTGCAAGAGGATGTAGGTCCTCGGTGGATGGGGAAGGCCTTCAGACTGTGGCTGTGGGTCTGTAGCCTGCAGCTACCTCAGGCTGTTACACTGGCCTGATTTAACAGACATCCCCCGGATGGGGAGGCATTTGTCACACTATTGTTCCAGGGTCAGCTCAGATGCAGGGTTATGTCTGAGGACGAATTAATTGTTTATAGATTATATTGCTATTCCAAGAGTCCATCCAATAGCATATATTGATAGAGCAGAATATAGCAAGATGATACTAGAGTTAGATAAATCTATATAAAAATGATCCGAATGTGGGCTCAGCTGTCACAGCGATGGAGCTGACAAAGCCAGGCAATGGGATTCATTCATGTTTCTCTGCCTTTTGGTTGGAGCTGTCATCTTAACAATGTAAATGTGTTAAGTTTGTTGTTCTCAGAGCCACTTGCACAGAAATGACAAGGTTATATTCATTCCTGATTCTAGCTGCAATTGGGTCTTCTCGTGTGCAATCTCTATGAAGAATTGTGTTGAATTTAACTCTGCACAACTACAAAAGCACACTGCTTCCAAACTTCTATATCGAAACACAATAGTACAGAACAGCATCTTAATTGGAAGGCATCACGGTGTCCACAGCAACCATCTCATCAGTGTTATACATAATAGATTACAACAGCAGGATTTTATAAATCACTACATAATTTAATACCATTAATCAGGAGTGGCAGCAAAAGAAAGACAAAAAAGATTTTAAGGAGGCTAACCACTAGCCATGTTTCATATTCTAGCAAATATTTTTAATAAATCCTACTAAAACAGTGAATTTTTTAAATTCTATTTATTGTTTTAGAGCTATAACTTGCTTTAAAAAATACACTTTGATAATTTAAGTGACATGCAAACCATGGAGCAGATGTGAACCTTGGCCATTTTTGGTGCTCTTTCCTGTACCATTTTGCAGCATTAGCAGAGCACTGCTCATACTCTGGGTTAGTATTTTTGACCCCAGGCAGATGGATTAGAAGTCATTTTGTTTGGACTGAACTAAAGTGTAATCCAAAAACAAGCAGGAAAGTACTGCGTCTCCCAGTAAATGTGATGACACTTTCACCCTGCTTATGTCACAACCGCATCCCAGACTGATTAAACTTAAGTTGCTTGTTGACTTTGGGACAACGCTGGTATTAGTCTGGCTAACTTTTGCAGACAGGATTACATAATTCGGATTTAAAAAAAAAAAAAAAAAAATCCTGAAATGTACGATTTTGTTTGCTGAAAAAAGACCACAACAGAAAGATAAATCCAAAAGTGACATGTGGAAATGAAATCACTAAGGGGATCTGTCTGTCTAGGTCTGGTATTGGGGAAAATTTGGATTCCTGTTCCACATGTGAGTTAGCAGCGTTCATTCTGTATTTATAAAATCAGACTGCACTTTTTTTTAGATAACCTTTAAGACAAAAAATTGGTGCAGATTTTTGTAATTTTGTCATGGAGAGTTACTTGTCAATACTGCGATTGTGGTGGAATTGAATCTGAATCAAGTTCTGCATGATTGATGTAGCGTCCACTAAAAAAAACAGTTCCAAAAAAACTGTCCTAATTCTAACCCCAACCCAAGGCAAAGCATGGTTTGCACATTTAGTTTGAGTGCATAGGGAATACCAGATGGTAGGTCCTGAATTAGAAAATGTTGGCTCCAGGTTGAAAGATGTATTTTGGAAATGAAAAACTGTATACCTCTTGTTTAGAAGCTGAAGTGTTTAGTCTCATCACAAGTTCCCAAGTTGCTGGCTCCTTGTTTGTCCCTTATGTCGTGTAAAATTGAATCGCAGCATACAAGCCATATTTGGCAAATTTGTTGTAAAATTTTATAAAAATTTGTATTTTCATGCTATCAATTAAAAGAAAAGGGAAATCGAAGCAAAAATACACAAAGCAACCACCAATATTTATTTATTCGTTTTCACTATGAGGCCTTAGTTCCGATTAAAGCTGACAGGCAGCAGTAAGGCTTCTGTTTCTAATGCTATTCTGGTAGACTGTGTCTGGAAAATCCAGCGCTAACACCCAAATTTAATGTCTGAGGAGTCAAAAGTGGGTCATGGTGCCAGTGTGCTTCATGTTGTAGTATTTAATGCAGGCAGGCTCACATTGATATGCCAACGCTGTGATGCACGCGAGCACACTCATTCCAGAAAAGAACAAGTAGTCCTTTGCTGAAACAAATATGTTTTTGTGAATCTTTAACAAGCGATGTCCGAACACTCAATACATTAAAAGGTAAAGAAAGTGTTGAAGCACTGCGAGTATCGTGAGTTCACCTTGGATTAGCAAGTAACTAAAAATGGGAGGTACTACAGGTTGGCTGTAACTGAGAGCTTATACAGTCTGACAGCAAGCAAACAGTAAGCAAAGAACTAATACAAATAGACACACTATCGAGTCGAATGGCCCATGTTCTCTCTGGCAACCCCCACGTAAGATCTGCTGAACTTTGCAGCTACATAGAGCTTTTTGTCTTTTAGGTCATTTTTATTTCGGTTTTATGAACTGCATGTATTCCATGGGGCTGCAGGGTGGCGCAATTGGTAGCACTGTTGCCTCGCAGCAAGAAGGTTGCCGGTTTGCGTCCCGGTGGGGGCACCGGAATCTTTCTGCGTGGAGTTTGCATGTTCTCCCCGTGCAGAGTGGGTTCTCTCCGGGTTCTCCGGCTTCCTCCCACAAGGTCCAAAAACATGTTGAGGTTAATTGGTGATTCTAAATTGTCCGTAGGTGTGAGTGTGAGTGTGCTTGGTTGTCTGTCTCTAAGTGTAGCCCTGCGATAGACTGGCGACCTGTCCAGGGTGTCCCCTGCCTTCACCCTAAGTCAGCTGGGATAGGCTCCAGCCCCCCCGCGACCCTCGTGAGGTTTAAGCGGTGTATAGATAATGGATGGATGGATGTATTCCATGATTCAGTCCTGCTGCTCTCATCAAACCTCGCAGCATTTTTCAGGTGGCCACAAACACCAAAGCTCCCAAGTGTGAGCTGGATGTGGAAGCAGCCAACTGTTTGCGATCACATTTGCTGTAACAAGTTAACAAGGTAATAATATGTCAGTCTCTAAGTGCCTGCCGGCTTCAAGTTCTTCTGTCCCAGCTGTTTTCAGTGAAGCTGTGAACCTTCTGTCTGGTCCCTCCCCACTGCCAACAATAGCAGAGAGACAAACTAAGGGACTTAAACAAAGCAGAAGATTTAGAAACTGACATTTACCCCAAAAGATGAAGTAAACCTAAACAGAGCCAAAAGTGAATATTGGTGTATTTGTCTGATGCAGTAGCAACATGGCTCCAAATGAATGCTAAAGTTGCAGCATGTCTGCGGGATAAGTAGGCAGCGGTTTGCAAACGTTGCAGCTGAGTGTTTCAAATGTAATTTCTGGCCTTTTTCTGTGCCACAGACTCAATACCATCGAGCTCTGGCACATGAAAGCAGGAATCTCTAAGGCAAACCTCTCCGGCCAACTCAAAGTGGTTGCTTACAGGGCTATAGGAAGCAATAAAGCCACTGTGGTACTGTGCATTATGAAGAAACGTAGACATCGGCCCGAGAAGTAGGTTTTAAATACCAGCATTGCAGTCAAAGGTGTGTCTCCATGCCCACCGAGGCCTGCGTCAGATATTCAAAAATTAAACTATATTTAGCACAAATGTTGTAAGAGGATTAAAGAAATAAGTGCACCAAGTGTATTTGTTCCATTAGTGTCCAGTTCTGCTCTCTCCATGCCCTCACTGTCGAGGTGATGATGGTTCAAATCCACTGTTTAAATGTTTGTATTATAACTCAAGGGATGTGTGATCTTCTTGACCTGCTCACTAGTTCTAAGAGGAGTACTGTAAACAGCTTTTACAAGATCCGGTTCGTTAAACCCTTCCTGGCATGAGAGAAGCGTTTTCATTAACTTGCATTAGACTGTCAGATTTTTTCGGAGCCCATAAAAGGGTCCCTGGTTATGTCAGATGGTGTCAGATCTGTTCTAAGATGCTGCTGCTGTGCCGCAGCTGTTGGGTTTGTTGGAGTTTGTTTTGACAGCTATCGAGAACGTTGTGCAAGGTACTGGTTCTCTAACATTTTCTTCTTTTTGATGTCGTGTCGGATTTCTTGCATGTTTACATGATGTTTACTGATGGTGTTGCCTTTGGAAAGATGCTGTATGTGGTGGCGGGTGGTGTGTTAAGAATGTTATGTGGTAATATGGGAGTTTTTCAAATCGTTAGGTTTGCTGTAAAAGGCTTAAAACCAGTCTGCAAGCTTGATAGGGAGTCATATACTTATCCTGTTGTATTCTTAATTTGTTTTATTCATACTTTATGAAGACTGCTTTACTTTTACAGCAGCACAGTTTCTGATACAACAGAAACTTGCATTTAATTGTTTAATGGTTTATACCCTCTGGACTTTTTCTAAAGTTTAAAGGAATATAGCATCTATGAAGTGCTGTATATCACTGTCACTTTGCACGGTATGTCGTTTGAGAGTTATTGTGATTTACAGATTAAGAGCATGAATTAAAGTGATATTATTTTACCGGTCAATCTACGTCCCAACCCTCACCTATGGTCATGAGATCTGGGTAATGACCAAAAGAACGAGATCGCGGATACAAGCGGCCGAAATGAGTTTCCTCCGCAGGGTCGCTGGGCGCTCCCTTAGAGATAGGGTGAGGAGCTCGGAGTAGAGCCGCTGCTCCTCCACATCGAAAGGAGCCAGCTGAGGTGGCTCGGGCATCTTTTCCGGATGCCTCCTGGACGCCTCCGTGGGGAGGTGTTCCAGGCGCGTCCCACCGGGAGGAGACCTCGGGGAAGACCCAGGACACGCTGGAGGGACTATGTCTCCCAGTTGGCTTGGGAACGCCTAGGGGTCCCCCCGGAAGAGCTGGGGGAGGTGTGTGTGGATCGGGAAGCCTGGGCGGCTTTGCTAAGGCTGCTGCCTCCGCGACCCGACTCCGGATAAGCGGGAGAAGATGGATGGATGGATGGATGGATGGATGGATGGATGGATGGATGGATTATTAAGATGTCTCTGAGGTTGATCAAGCTCATTTTGAAGCCTGCAAAATTGCACATTGCCTGCTAAGCAGCAAATGCTGAGAAAATCCTTACTTTAAAAGTAAAATGTCCTACTATTTAGCTTCCTGTGTTGAATTATTAAAGCTATTCCCAAGCACAGCTTGTCGTTTGAAAGACAGGAGTGCTGAGTAAGAACCTTCCCTGGTTAATTCTGGAGGAAACAGAAATCACAGGAGATGGTAAAGAAGGATTCTTTGTTCGTTTCAACAGGAAGGAGACAACACAGTAAAAATAGCCTAAAAGAAAAGTAGTAA